TCGTTTTACGCTTTGAAGCTGGCCGATGGATTTTGGTCAAAATGTTCATGCTCTTGATTTGTAAGGAAACTCCGCTTATAGAGGTTTTCGAACACGCTCTTTACGAAAATCAAGGTCTTTGAGGATTACAGGATCTTTCTGGTGAGATACGGTGAGGTGACTGTAACTGAATCATGAAAGTGCGTAACTTTGCCCGCACTTCTCGCGTATCTGTCCAAAAACTTGCTTGCTTGCTTGTCCAAGTCAAATTTAAAAGGGACTGTGCCATCGAAGGTGCAAGTCTCAGTCTCCATTCTACAGAAATCGCCGAGTTAAGGAGCCTACGAAAACACATCCTCATGGATTTTGCCCGAAATGTAAAGATCGCATATTTCGTCGAAATTCCACCGTGAGTGCTTATGCAACACGTTGATCAGATCTTTTCAAAGCAGTGGTATCAACGCAGAGTACTGATTTCGTAGTTTGAGTCCTAGCCACCGAAATAGCTTTGATATTCAACTGAGCAGCTGAAGCATACGCAAGTACCATATTCAATACAGTGGGAGTCTTTGGGCGAAGCGAACACAATATCCGCAATGCGAGTGTCATACAAGCACTCACGGTGGAATTTCGACGAAATATGCGATCTTTACAAGCACAAGGGCAAGCAAGCAAGCAAGTTTTTTGACAGACACGCGAGAAGTGCGGGCAAAGTTACGCACTTTCGTGATTCAGTTACAGTCACCTCACCGTATCTCACCAAAAAGATCCTGTAATCCTCAAAGACCTTGATTTTCGTAAAGAGCGTGTTCGAAGACCTCTATAAGCGGAGTTTCCTTACAAATCATGAGCATGAACATTTTGACCAAAATCCATCGGCCAGCTTCAGAGCGTAAAACGAGAAAAAATGAAATTACTCGAACATCTTGAAAAACTTGCTCATAAGGGTTTCCGACTTGCTGATTCCGAAGATCACATCTGCTCTTAGCAAGAGAGCTTCATATTTTAGAGTTACACTGAAAAAAATTTAAAACGACATGATTTTTCCAGAATTCACCAGCCCTTCTAAATCCTTTGGAAAGAAGTGTGCGGCTGATTTTTAGCGCCCCATAATCTACGGAAGAAGTACTATCGAAAATTTCTTTCTGAATCTACTGGAGGCATCTACGCGCTGCTTCACACTTTTGCGAAGAGACGTCCGCAGAAAGTTTGAGAATCTGAAATCGAGATATCAAGTACTGCATACCGAAAGATTCGCCTTGACGAGCTGAACACAATGCTACCTTCGGATTTAGAATATATTCATTCCCAAGGAAGTTATGGCGCTGCATAATTTGCGATATTCCGGAATCGCGAAATTTCTGGAATTTCGCGAAATTCCCGTTCTGTGGGTGGTATTGTACATTGCACAGCACGCGCGGCAATCCGCGATATGTATTTCTCATGCGATTTCCAACCATTTGCCTTTGTTTTCCTGCATTTTGGGACCCGTCATACTTCGCCGAGAAAAGCCAGTTTCACACATATCCATACAGAATGAGCTCTCAAACTATACCTGCCCTATTTCTGCAGTGCTCAACAGAATGTGATGTAGCCTCTGGAATCAGCACACTGAATGATCCATTTTCACTAAAATTTCAGGAAAAAACTTATATCTCACAACTAAGCACATCTGTATACTGGAAGATGCGCCTCGCCGAGCTGAGTTGAATAATACTCTTAAAAATAAAATTCATAAATTTTATATCAAGATAAGGTCTCTTATCTAAAAAAGTTAGGGTCGCGCGACAAAGTTAGGCGGCACGCTTTTCCGCCTAACTTTGTCGCGCGACGCGGCGCTTGCCGCCTAACTGCGGCGGCGCCGCGTGAGTTAGGTGCCGCCGCCAATTTTTTTCACAAATTACGGGTGGTATTGTACATCTGTCGCTTCCCCTCCCCTCCACCTGAGGAGTTCATTCCCGGGGGAAAAAACCATAAGAAATATCGTCGAACGTGTTAAACATACATCACTCGATCTCTAGACATGTTAACCTGCTTCATTATCAAGTTCATACATGATGACATGCTCCGACGTGTTCAAATAAAAAAAATGAAATGGCTTGTTTTTGGAGCGCACAGTTAATCATATGGCACCAGATTCGAACTACAGGTGTACAACAAACCTTAGGGAACCTACCTAGAGGAACAGTGTTCTGGGTGCACCAATCATAGATTTGTTGTTTCAGGCAGAGGAGCAAACAAATATCTTACAAGGAAAGGAAAGATGGTCGAAGTGGTCTTTTGAAATGGGGTGTATACTGACTGCCTTGTAGAGCTTGGAACGCTGATTCCAAATATGTCTTTGCTATCTGCTGCGGGCTTCTGGGCGAGAAGTTATGAAGGTTTTTGTGAGTAAAAATCTGAATGCAAAAATAGGTTAAAATCAGTCCAGTCTTAACCTTTTCCCAATGTTCAAATGATTCAGCAGCGAATTGGTATGTTTGAGTCAAAAATATTTGTTGCACCGAGTGACTTGACTACCAATTACAGGGCTCCTAAATTGCAGAGTCGTTTGCACCAGCGGTTGCGCTACGGCGTCGCGCCCGGGCATCAATGGCGCCGCCTCGATCGATGGCGCCGGCGCCGGCAAAATGCCCGGACGCGACGCGTCGCGCGACCGCTGATGCAAACGACTCTGCAATTTAGGAGCCCTGTAAACCCAATGAAAATTGTTACGACTGATCCTACTCTTGCATTCAGATTTTTACTCACAAAAACCTTCGTAACTCCTCGCACAGAAGCCCGCAGCAGATAGCAAAGACAGATTTGGAGTCAGCGTTCCAAGCTCTACAAGGCAGTATACATCTCATTTTGAAAGGCCACTTCGACCAACCTTCCTTTCCTTGTTAGGGAGTAGTGAGGAGTTAGGAGAAAGGAGGACTACTACGGCATTGCATCAAAACCACTGGGCTTAGTTTTGCCCTCCCCGCGCTCTCTGAGAATTTTGAATGTCCAAAGAGTAGCAATCACTTTTACAACCACTTCCCATTACAGCAATCTTCTTCCGAATCACTCTCAATAGCTTTTTAGAAACGTCTCTATTTTCTCTTAGCGGCGGTATGTTATAGACACTCTGCGTTATTATGAGTTTACTCTGTTTGCTTTTTCTGTATAGTTTTACTTTGCAGGCATTATCTGTGATATGTACTATGTCATCAACGCCCATTTGCTTTGATGAATTTAGGCAAACTGATAGGCCACCTTTTTTGCGTACACGAGAAGATTGATTATCGTTAACTGAACTGTACAATAAATATTGTAACAAATTAGGACAAAGTTGATGCATTATACTCTTCGGCAAATCATAGTGCCATTGCAAATGCAAGAGAACTATATTTAGGTTGTATCAAAGTATGAAATTGACCTAGGTCTTACCAAAATTTTGAGAATTCGTGACAGTTTCCATTTTAAACGTCCATATAAATGTAAACTTACACGTCTTTCACTGCTGAGAGCAAACGTAGTGTAGGTATAGTCGATTCGTTGACCGCACGGACTGGACATCACATCACAATTTGCAATTGCACAAATCGTGCTCTCGCGACAATTCAGCCGCACCGCGCGTGGTCCGCAGCTTTGAGCAGTCCGTGCGGCCAACGAATCAACGTTCTATGGTGACCTACAAGCTGATAAAGGCAACCCTCTCTATAATAGATAGAATTTGTGTTGATCGGATACCTGTAAGAATGGGCACAGCTACTGTTTTTCTGAATAGTAGGATGCTGTACAGATCAGTTGCTTTTGAAACATTGCAAACGCATTTCTAATTTAGGTGCAAGATTGATGTAAAGGCTGCTGCATGACGAAGGCGCAATACTTTTGGGCACGATCGCGGCTAAATTAGCCGCAGAGCGCATGAGGTGCAGGATTTACAACGGTGAGAATACGCGCGCTCCGCGTTCGCGCTCGCTCAACTGATATGCTTCTGCGCCTTCGTCATGAAGTAGCCTACAACTTTAGGTGTACGAGCGCACGACGGTGTCGACTTTCAATCATAACAATTTGAAAAATTTCTTGAGGGAAGCGGTGAGGAAATTTCTAATCACATGCGACCAAACTTTAGGCCTACTTTCAAAAATTCAGAACCGCTTCCCCCCCCCTCCCGTAAACCCTCTCCCCCGCCATCCAAACTAGCTCTGTCCGCCATTGCTATCAGTAAATTCTCAGTGATAAAATTACGGCTTTAAGAATTTCAAATCTACACCCAAAATGCATATATGCTGCCAGTCAAAACTTACCATTAGTTTTTTTTTTTGATGCTCTCTAGATTAGGTACAATTTTCTTACGTGCTATTATCATTCATTTGGCTGATAATGAGTGAAACAGTCACATATCAATTATATGTCATGAGATATGTTTACCATTAAACTCAATTTTTTCAGAATTCGAAGGTTTCTTGCTTCAACTCATTTTAAATGCATAGTTCAATCTGCTCAGCCCAGCCTATCGTTCAAATTATTGTAAAAGCCCTATCAACCTTTCATCCTAAATTTTTTCTGGCTCTTTGGAACTACAGTAAATGCCACCCTACTTTTGAATAGGCTAAAGCCCAGTTTGTTGCAAATATGCTTTTATATCATCCGATCATCAACATCAACCATATCTTTACTATCAAAGCCGGAGTATCCTCTACAGTGAACACGAAAACGTAATCTCTAAAGCCAACATCATTGCACGTTTCTGCGTTTTCTGAGAACTGCTACAAATTTCGTTATGCGACAGTCGCGCCATTAGTGATTGAGCATCGAGGCGCTTATTTATGTCCAGGATTTAAAGGGCTCAGCAATTACCTAGTTTGGTATAACCCGTTCAATGCATAGATCTTTGATTTTGTACATGTCTTGATTTCCTTTTTGGAATTTCCCCCTTTGAGTTTCTCTAGTTCAGCATCAGACATATCCTCAACATATGAAGAACACCACGTTGGTGCGTTTTATCTCCGCATTCATAGCCGCATTAAAGAGCAAAAACCCATGAGAAGCAAGAGTTTATGCAGAGCTACCAGTACAAAGCGTGCACAATCGGAAAGCAAAATAATGTGTATATCGAGTCGAAAAGGAAAGATTGCGAGTTGTGCGAATAAATCATGAAAACTTGGCGAATTTCATGGCGATCAACATTCGCAGCTTACCCATCAACTTCTGCCACTTTGTTTTGAGCTAAAAGTACTGATTTCAATGCAATGATAATCCTAAACGGTTAAAAACTCACTTTTTCTGACAGAGGTGTTTTAGCTATGAGAGGCTCTTTCAGCTCCCGTACATCGCTAGATTTGGTCGAGCTGAACGGTGACCGTTTTTCGGTATAGTAGTACGTGGTGTAATATGTCGTGTGAAAAATCTGAAAAAACAACTATAATCTTAGAAGGACGTGATTTTTCTCGAAGAGTGCAAATCAAAGAGTATTAACCAGTTGTATTTAGTCTATGATTGTGCACTACATATAAAACTTCGCAAGCTTATCGTAGAGTCGTGGCAGACGGATTTGAACTACTGAAAACTGAGCTTTGTGGATGAACCTATGACAAATTTACAGTTGTACTTATGGGATGAGTCGCGTTGTGTAATTGCACCACATTCAAAATTTACAGCGAAGCAGACCGGCGGCGATAACACTATACAATGTATACACATTAGGCCACAAAGGCTCACTCCAAACATCCCCAAAAGATATCCAGGCCTCATACTTTGATGTACCAGCACAAATTTCAAGCAAAACGGTGTATGTAAATACTCATACTTCAAAAAATTCACCAGATGAGGGAATGTACACGATCGGACAAAAAGCATTTAGCTGATGCAAAACTCCGTTGGAATCTTTTCAAAAAAAATGACATTTTTCTCGGTTCAATTCTTTGGATGTACTCTTGCTTGAAAGCAAAAATCGCGAGCTTTGTAGCTATTTTTTCGAACTGCATTTTAAACTTGCATTTTTTTTCACTCACCAAAGAAAGTCGTAGCATAAGATATAGGACGAGATGTTTTGTTATAAAATGTTACTCGTTATGTCGGACCATAGTCTTAATATCTAAAATCTGCTGAAATTGTTTTTTGCCATGGAAAAATGCTAATTTTGAGTACTTTTCTTCATTTGCCTCTAACTCTCGCAATTTCTCATATATACCAGTTCACATAAAAGGAGCGCACTGTGTCTACTTTTAAATATACTTCAAGGAATCAATTGAGATGCTAGAGGTTATTATTATATTTTGAAACAATGCAACCTTTCGAGTCAACCCAATACATATCGACATATTCAATGAGGGCTTCTAATCTGGCTAATTTTACTGCGAGAGCCTTAGATATACAGCATTCATTTAAAAAACAATAGCTTTCACTTACTTTACATAGCTAATTGACATAGCCATGGGTACTCTTCAAGATTTATCATCACAAAAACATAACAAGGTCCCATGATGGCAAAATGGGATTCAAAATTCACTCACAGGTTCCCTCGATATACTTGAGGCGCATACATTGACGATCATCTCTTACGGCTTCTCAGCACTGAAATACTTGTCGTTGAGTCTGCAATAAATCATCCTTTACGACTGTTTTCAAGCAGATGCAAAATCCACGTATCAACAGTTCAAGATGGTTACGAGTGCGAGTAATGGATATCAAATAAGCATCTTCAGATTCCGTAACTATGGGAGCAGTCAAAGCTAAGTAAGTGGGGGAGTCTGAGGAAGTTAATCATATTGGGAGCTTTTGTATGATCACAGCTATAGCAAAGATTAATTCTATAAGCCTGGGTTACCGCACATTCGTAGAGCGCTGGAGATATGAATGGAGATGTGTAAAAGGAATATTGTTGGAACCTCAGATATTTTACGAACAGTCCAATCTTCGGAAAAAAGCCTTCGATTCACCATAGAAAGCGATAATATGCGAGATTATGAAGGACTATTCTGCTGCTGTCTGCATTTGTTGAGTTTTGATTTGAAGTTTTTACAGCAGTCCCTCGAGGATCGGAAGATTTAAGAAGTATCACGTAGCATTGATGATAAGTTTGCATAAACTTACATCATTTACATCACTTACATCATCATCATTTGAAACGATAACATGTTTTTCTATGCGGTTGAGCATTTAAAAAAAATTTGATTGAAATTATGTTCTTGACCACTTGAAACAACTATGCCTCATAATATGGGATTTCGCTCATCTGCATATTTATAAAGGTTTGAAAGATAGATGTACGCCAACGCTGCTAGCAAAAATTGCGCCGGTTACGGAACTTACCATCGTAACAAATAATCTTGGATCCTACGTATCAGCCCAGTTCGTTATTCCACATCTAATCAAATTCACTACGTTGTTCTTGCTATCGATGAACTGTGTGCTCGACAGCTGCTTAGCCTCAAAATGTTATAAGAATTGTGGAGAAATGTATTGAACCCCCTACTAAACCTGCTGTTAGACTTAGCGAGTTTTGAAAAAAAATAAAAAAGCGCGTTTCACAGTTGCGCTGTATGCTGGAAGTTTCTATGGTAAACTCCCTATAAAACGATTCGTAATTCTCTTTATATTGCAAATTGAAATTGTAGCCAGCTCTACGAATGGTATCGTCCTTTCCCTACTCTATAGCGGGCGGAGCTTTGCCGACGTTTGCCAACGTATGCGCGTGGCAGTTTTTGGCAGCTAAAGAGTAAAAAAAGTAATGCTTTAGAATGGACGTTTAACAACTTTTTCAACTTGTTCAAATGCTTGCAGGGCCACGCCCGCTATACGCATGGGAATCGCCTATACCTAAAGGTCGGCACAGGGCCCGGCACCGATGGTTTGGGGTCAAACTGGACTTCGTTTTTGGAGTTAGAAGCAACGGGGACATCGTTTTTATGAGGTGTCCTGGAGGAAGCGCCAAAAAACACGACGAACATGTCAGGTTTCACGAGTTGAACGTGTTCTTTCGCAAGCGCGCGAATTTCAAATGCATGACTCAAGCAAACAATTGGCTTGTTTACAGCGCACAAACAATCACATGGCTCCGAATTTGGGCTATGAGTATACAATATTACTCCAAACTATGTTATGTAAAAAGTTCCCAAAACTTATGTGTCTGAATACCCGTTCCGGATTTGTTGGTTTCTAGACCAACCACCGAACCAACTGGGTTGGTTCGGAGCATAAATTCCGGAGAGTTCACATAAGTTTTGGACCTTTTTGATTTGGACGATTAAAACGCTTAAAAATCTATTATATAGTGAAGAGAGCGAGTCAAACTATTGCCTCTCCTCTTCTTTTGAGCCAAAAGTAGTGCAAATCTATACGCCTTGATAGATATTGCGCTCCAATCACACGCGGTGTCCTTTGAACTATGTGGCGAAAAATGCACTGCCAGATTGTTGAGGCCACAGATTTGGTTGGCCTAGGAGGTTCTCGACATTCTGAGCGCTAAAATGGTACACTACTCAATGACAGAGCCTTTAATCAACTCGAAATGTTTTCTTTTTGCTTTTTTTGTTGCATTAGTTACCTCAAAATGCGCTTTTTTCGCTTTTTTAATGTTATTTTGACTAATTTGGGGTTGCCCTACTGATTTTTACGTCAAGAGGGACTTCGTAAATTCTCGCGAAGTCATGGAGGACTTCGTTTCCAGAAACGCTTCAAACCAACCCGTGCCGGGCCCTGGGTCGGCAGAATACTTTGTGAGAGGAGAAGTGTCAACGAATAAACAGTCCATATATTTAGTTGAGACACCATGTATTAGGTTGGCACATAAGTAATGCAACTTTTTATATAACTGTTGTCTATCTGAACGTAGCGCATTCATTTTTTGGCAATATAAGGAATATGATGTAAGCTTCTAATGCACACATTTTTGCCGAATTTTACCATCTTATGTGAGGATTACGGTAGGTTTACGGTACTATGGGAAAAATTTTAGAATGCAACAGATTTCGCTGAAACTTGGCCTATAGGGCTTATTTGACATGCTGATCACAAAAATGAGATCCGTTTCGCATGAAAAGGCCTCGTTCATGAGATCAGAAGATGAATTTTATTTTAGCGACAAATGAATATGATATTCGTGTTTACCGCATAGGATTACCCTATAGTGCAAAGTTATAGCGAATTCTGACTTTTCGCAGCTTAGTTATTGACAAATTGCCTTCAAAACTTGACGCATTTGACTTGTTCAACTTCTCAAAGGCGCCCCACCTTAATTTGTGTTTAAATTTCATTTCTTTTTCACTGATTCCAATGTGCCAACTTCCAGCTACATGCTGCCTATAATTGCTTTTTCATATGTTTAAATCAGGTTTTGTAGGGCTTCATGTTTGCCAAAAATTCGTGAAACCTCGATTTTCAGCAGTTTTCAAAAAATGCTTAGATTTTTTGTACTACGTTACCAAAAATCAAACGGTTTGCGCAGGCTTGCAGCTTGCTTCACGATCTACATGATGCCACAAAATGAGATTGCTATATAAAATAGGAAAAAAGTTAAAGTTACGGGAAAAGTTGCAAAACTTATGTGCCAACCTAATACATATAGTCGCCTCTGGCTCGAAGCTCACTATTGTAAGCTCATTTAACTTTTGCTGCTCCTCCATCGGAAATAGTTGCAATTGCGATAATCGCATCGTCAAGCTAGGAATCAACTAGTTTCGGTCAAGGTGTGTGTTTGTAGTTTCTTTTGCTCAAGCGAAGTAATACAGAGCGTTCTATGGTAGGTGCCAGACTTATCTGGTACAAGTTCATGCGGTTCACCTCTTCGCTATTGGTCAGATCATTGAATTGACCAATTGCGAACGAGCAAACCGGACGGATAGGTTGAACCCGGGTAAGTCTGCCGCCTACCTATGGGAGCAGGCTTGAATGCGAAGGAGATCTACCCACTTACGCGAAAAGTTCTTTACAGTTCAAGTATACGAAAAGACTGCGGGCGATCGGCGTCTGTCTGATCGAACACTCTTTTGTTTCTCTCTTACTATCTGCTGTCTCGCCCATACACAAAGTATCTTGGCCGGATGCACGGCGCTCGCTCTTTGCATGTTGTGAATGTGTATACACGATTCATAACACGCAAAGACTAAGTGCCGTTGCGTTCAGCCAAGATAGTGCGTGCTCGGGAGAGACAGCAGATGGTAAGAGAAACGAAAGCGCGCTCGATTAAAAAGACGCAGATATGTCCGCAGTCTTTGCGTGCTATGAATCGCCTATACACATATCTGTCCTTGCTTGGAGTCAAAGCAGTATAAAAAAGATTCTTATCAGAATTAGCTTCCTAAATCAAGCATCAAAATCAGTCATGATGCCTATAATTTTCAAAAAATAACAACAACAAAAAAATGAGTCGTAGCAGGCCATTCTAAAATTCGGTGTTTAACCACTGGACATAACAAGTTTGCTACATTTGCATGAATGCAGCTACTGGAAAATGCCTAGTGATATCGATAAAATGAGTGGGCATCCTATGACGCGCACGTATTCTCTATTCCTCGCACTGATGTCAGAAACAATAAATTCCATACAGATTGTAATTTTATAAAGCTGCATGACTTCATTGCTATGCAAACGACGAAGATTGGTTTGGAATGTAATACGCCACTAGAGAAGCTTCTGCAATATCATCTGCAATATAAAGAAACTCGCTCTATCGTTGTCTCAAGTAATGAATCCATATTGTCCAACGCATTTTCCATTAAACTTTTATCTCGAACTACGAAAGCAGCTGGAATATTCTGGCAACTCAAGGCAAGCTTAACAACATCAATGACAAAAAAGTCCGCGAAAATTGCCAAAGAAAATTCTGAAAAAAAAAGATGCCAGCTGTCTAAAAGCGATGTTCAAGATGTAGTATACAGCTAAAATTCCATGTAGTAGTTTTCTTTCAAGGAGAGGTGAGGAGAACGACCGACAGAAATTTTTCAAAGTAAACGGAGAGGGGGGGGGGCCTCAACTCTTTCAGCAGAAGATTTTGGAATGCTTCTCAAGTTTTCCGGATTTATTGGGGGTGTGGTGACAGCTACGCCTGGGAGAATTTTTTTACAAACCGAATTTTGATCTTCAAAATTTTTCAAATCAGTTCCACTCATTCACATGTATAAGTGATTCGCTTGCACAATTACTCATGCGGATATGTAGGTTAAAAATTTCACGACTCGTTCACTCTCTTGACGACGGCTCGGCACAGCTGGCACCGGGTCAAGCCGAGTATCGTTTTTGGGACAAAAAGCAAAAGGGGATAAGGGTTAAAAGGTTCGTTTTGAAATTTCCCTAGTGCCAGCTCGTGCCGAGCCCTGGCCGATGACAGCCAGTACTGGCGGTAATGAGGCTTTCACAGAGCTTTTCTGCAACGGAATGAGGAAAAAAATAGAAGCAACCACATTTTCCCAACGTTTTTCATCCAGCTGGCGAGACGCTGGCTTTTTCTCTCCTTTTTTTTACATTGAAAGTGCTCAGAATAAACGAGGCTGAGAAAAGAAGAATGTGGCTGGATAGTACAGATAGATTTTCAGACGTACAAAAAACGTGTAAAAAGCAGCTTTAGCCTGGAAACCAGCAGCGAAAGAGAACGTTGCACTTTTATAAATTAGTCTGATATAATGTAAACCTCTAATGAACTTCATTGCAGTGATGCGTTAAGTAAAGCGGGACATCTGTTGCAAGCACTTATGGCAGGAAATGACTGACTACGTCAATAACCTGAAAAATGCTAAATGAGTGGTTGCCAACAGCGAATAATCCGTTGGGAATGCTTCATGGCTATAGCACAGGCAAATAGCATTGGCTAGGAGATTAGCTGATCACGTCAGCTAATGCGCGGACGTCACCGTGTATTCCCAAGAAATGTTTCATACGGGATGGCATAATCAAGATACAGGTCCTCATTATTGTGGAACAATTCTATATGTAGAATTTCTTGGCTATTATACAGTCGAGTCAGAGAAGAGGGCTAAGCAAGAGAAAATTTTTGTGCTTTCATCTCATCCTTTCTTCCTTCGCATAAGTGCCCTTCAAGTGGATAAGAACTTTATAGAGTACTAGACGCTATGTTTTAAAAGCAGTGGATCGCCAAAATGGACCCCTGTCATTTTGATAGTGCTAGCTTGTAGGCATCCCAAATATACTGTGGCTCCAAACCCACCCTCCAAATCATGCGCTAATTGTAAGTCCCGAAAATCGGCTTCAACCTTCCACCAATAGCACCCACTAAATGGAAGTGGGTGGGGCTGGTAGAGTTTTGAAGCTTCATTCAGGGCTTAACGCATGATTTGGAGATGGTGTTGGGACTACGATGTATGAAGGGTCTACTACCCGACACTATCAAAACCTGATAGAGCTCCATTTTGCTGACCCACTGCCTTTAAGTGCGACATCTCACTTTCTCCATTCTAATTCTCAGTGGAGAGAATGTATTTATATAGGCATCAGAAACTCTTTACGCAGCCTCATCGTTTGTGCCATATGAACCATTTACTCGGCCAAAGCTTGTGTTCGACATGATGACTCAAGCTCTCTTATGTTCTCACATGTTATAGTTTAGAATTTATTTCATCACTTAATGCAAAAAAAAAGTTTGAGAACCGATAACAAGGTTGGAGTCGTCAAAGACAACTCTGCTCGTAAAATGTGAAGGAAATCACAGCACTCCATTCGCCGAACTTTGCGTCGCATATATATTGCCTCAGAGTAAACGAATTCCGAACACAAAGTACCATTCAAATCGGCTCGACGAGGTGCAATTTCTGATATATAAATGTGCCTGTTTAAGCAACGTAGTCGGTGAAATGTCACGGATATTTTTAGATATTTGCTTGAAATAGATCACTCAGAGTCTTATTCATTGCACAATGAGTAACCTACATTCAAAAATCTGTACAGCCGTGATATTCGATACAGCCCAAACAGGCGCATCAAAGGCGAAACTCATCGAGCTGTGCTGAATGGTGATTTGGATTCAGATTTCGTCCATTCTGAGGTACGACATGGCGATGCAACGCAAAGTTAGCCGAACTCCGACGGACTATAATGACTTTTCTCACAGATTACGAGCGGTATCGTAGCTTCTTGGAACTGGACATGTAAGACGAACGCAGCAGATTACTGACCAAGAATTCTAGTCAGTCAAAGTACACCCATATTTTTGTTCCATCGAGGCAATACACAGTAATTGCATTCTTCGAGCATGTGATTCTGAGCGCAGCGTCTAGGCGCTTATTAGCTGGTTCTAAACCACTGAAAAAACTTTGTTTGGAGTTTTTGGTGGGAGAAAATGGAAGCGAGTCCTCTGGGAAGAGAGTTCGATATCTGGCACATGATTACTAACTGAGAGGTTTCGCTATCTCATAATCGTTGTTTTTGAATGTCTACAGGACATTTTGTGTGGAGAGTGTCCTAAGCAAAGTGAAGAATACTAAATTTCACAAGTTATACGGCACCGCTTCGGAAGCAAGACTATTGAGATCCAGAAATGTGCATAAGTACATTCTACCTAAGTATATATCAAATCAAGACGAGCTTTCAGAATCAGAAACAAGCCTAGCGCTTTAGAGGGCTACAGGAATTGCAATACAGTATTCTTTACACTACTAGATAATGTAACACTTGAGCCATTACAGACCCGTCACTGCCACTCCTAATAGTCCAAGGAATGAAAATTCTAACGTTGAATACGAAACATAGCCTTACATCGCTGGCTTAACGACAGTGCACGAAATGAAGCCTCTGTGGTGAGGCCGCCGAGAATCAATATGGAGCCGCACACGACATCGCTCGCAGAAGCCTCAGAACTCTCTTGCCTCCGTAACTTTGTGCCGTTGAAGTGAGCAGGCCACTTGCAAAACTATCAACATGTAACAGCTTACAAAGCCTTTTAGTAATTTATCAATCCTAGCACGAAACAACGATGATCAACAAAACAACAATAGAAAAAGTATAGCTCTACTCACTGTGGCATCTGCATATCCTAGATGAAAATATCAGAATACACATCTGTGACAAAAGAAATTTACTACTACCTATGACTATCTTTAAATAGCAGACCTATTTGTGCTGGGCATTTATACGCTCTAATAGCTGTGAATGACGTGACTATGCACCAGGCATGGCAAAAACAAAAGTTCAGGAAACTTTTCACTCTGCAGCGCCCAACTCGCTCCGAACGAAGTCTACTACCTCTGCTTGGTGTCCTTTGAGGTACTCATAGACAGTCTGTGATGGGTTCAACATAAATGCTTGACGCAAAAGCGCTGTCTCGTCTTCGTCAATCTGAGTGGTCTGAAATGATGTGCTGCAAAAATGTGTTCAATTTGACTAAAGCAATGAATAATAACTAGCTGATTGTAATAAAGACCAAAAATTAGATTGTCAAAGTTAGACTGCGCTAGAGAAACAGCAACAAGATCAAGAAGAAATATAAAAGCAAGTAACAACACATAATTTGGTCCAAAAAATGAGAGTTGTCACAAACCTTGACATCAACGAAGTCATTCAATTCATCCTTGCTTCCTTTCTTATGTTTGTCTTGACCGTCTACTTTGGTGGTTTTTGGTGGTTCACCCAACGTCTCTGATCGCATTCCAATAACATGCTTCAAAATATGAAGATAGGTTTTGAAATTCTTGAAACCTAGCAGAACATCAGAGGTTACGTGGGTAAAACAAACCTGACAAATTTGAGCGGCTAACCTATCAGTGGGAAAGAGACCTGGTGCCTCATCTCGTCGGAGAGCTATCACGGACACAAATTTACCCATGCTAACAGATGGCACTCCTTCTTAATACAGATGCATTCACTAATAAAAGAAAACAACCGCAGCTGCATGAATAGAAAAACGCAGAAAAAGACTCATAGACTTACCTCGCGGATGTGCGGCCGAAAACAATGAGGTGCCTTGTGGAGCATACAGTGCCGTGATCGACCGTACAGTGATATTTTCACCAAGTTTACCAACCGTCATAGCCAGCACTTCATTAAGCGATTTTCCATTGGAATCAGAAAGAGAAGCGATGTCTGCAGAAGACTTACGTTAGGAAAAACGTATAGCCTTCCTATAATCTCAACCAGCTATTTTGTTTTGTACTACAATAACGGCAGTCGTAACAGTCAAAAGATTGCGTTGTGATTTTTGAGAGGCAATCTACAGAGTGTCCCAAAAAAATGTGCCTACTGTTTGATTGTAAATAACTCTCTTGTGATGATGTGTTTCGAGAAGCTTTAGGTGCCATTTTATAGAGCGAGGTTGAACTTAGATTCAAAAGCATAGAGCGAATCACTGATCTCTCTTCACTACTGTAGGATTACGGTAAGAACTTCCAACATATGGATTTAATGTGAAATTTACTATTTAATAAAACTCCTTTCAAAAATTCTGAAAAATTGTGTATTAGGGTTTTCGCGCATGCTGATTCTACCTAACAACTTTTTACGAGTGTTTTCAGCTTTTTTGACGTTGTAATTACATTTCTGACAAATGCTGGGAACTGAGTTATTACGATTTACCGGGGATAACTTTGGAAAGAAGCATCATAGAAAAATGGAAATTTCAAAATCGGAATCAGCGGCTCTCATTACCGTAGTACAAGAGTTTTTGGCTTGTTTGGGTTCGGAGGCCGAATATAGCCTCCAATGGCCCTAAAATCCTTGTCGAATTTTGTCCCGTAATCCTACAGTAATGAAGAGCGATAGACGATTCGCTCCATACTGCAAATCTAAGTTTGACCTCGCTCTACAAAACGGTACCTGAAACATCTCGAAACACTACATTACAAGGGAGTTATTTACAATCAAACAGTAGGCACATTTTTTGGGACACCCTGTATTTCACATGTCAATAAACGCACTAGTCAGTACTTGGATAAAAGTCGAAGATTTGATGATCTACCTAAATTAGCTGAGACTATTTTTTCTGGCACAGGCTCTGGGGCATTCTTCTGAGCATAGTCCAACGCTGAATTAGTCACCGTCTCTAACTAAAATGAAGGTAGATGTGAGGTTGCAGTAGGTACACCAAATAAGAAATCTACCAAAGCTTTGAAGTTATCTCCACGTGCAACAAAGTCTGTCTCACAGCTCATTTCAACAGTAACAGCAACCGACTCGGCGGATTTTACTGCTATTAGTCCTTGAGTGGTCGCCCGACCGCTAAGTCTAAAATTTTCAAATCCTGCGAGATTTTGCAGATGAGAAAATTGACAATTATATAGGTTGGAGATAAAAAGATACAACGTCAGAAGTAAAAACATAATCACCTGAAAGTACTCACTTAGCCGCTTTTGCCCATCCTTCCGTCTTCGCTCGTTCTCTCAACCATTTCTCTGCTTCAGCCAGATTATCAGAGCCGAACTGGACCAGAGCTTTACGGCAATTCACGTAACTATACCCGGTACGTTTTCTAAGTTTCATCAAAGCCTAAACATAGAGTGTTCGAATCTAAGCGACCCTCGACAAGAGCATGTTGGTATTCTTCTTGTGTTGTTAGTCGGAAAAAGGGCCGAGTTCTACTGGTTAATAACCCGACTGCACTGGCCATTTTGTTTTAGCCAACCCTGCCGATAAATTCTCAGAAACCATTATCCGTCGGAATCCGGCGCTGACCTTAGCTACAGTATATAGCTAATGCGACCATAAAAGGCAACCCAGCTGCTTCTCATCTTTCCTTTGGCTATGAATCTTACTTATTACATATAAAATTTACTTACCACATCATTAGGTCATCCTGAAACCATCATTTGTCTTGCCCTCTGATCTTTTCACGGTACTGAAAATTCCTCATCCTGGATACTCTCTCAGTATACCATAACGTGCAAATACTAAGGAACTGATGTTTCTCTAGGATTTCTCATGGAATTTATCATTATCGAGATATCCCAATAACTGTTCGCCAGAATATAGATGGGTTCTATTTGATGAATTTAGAAGAACCTCTGCCTCCCAAAACGTGTACATTGTTCAGGGAGATGAAGTCATCCTTACCAATGACAGTCTTGTTTTGAAATCCTTAACAACAAAAGACTTCGGAAATGACACTTCTACGTCATCCATCAACACCATTTGTTAGCAAACTTAGGTCCCCATTCATTACTTGAATACAGATAGCGAAATGATTAGTTATGTATACGATCCAGAGGATAAACAACACATCATATCATATGCAGGACCACTTTATGATCTGATAAGTAAGATCAACGAAAAGTAAGAGGCAGCCGGGTCGTCTTTTATGGTCGCATTAGCTATATGCTGTAGCTAAGGTCAGCGCCGGATTCCGACGGATAATGGTTTCTTAAATCCTCGGTCCCACCCCACGAACGCAAAAAAAAACACCGAGATGCCCTTTGAGACTGATATCAAACACTTAAGAAAAGATGACAGTCAGTGCATAACCGCGCAACAAAAAAGGTTTCTGAATCTACAATAATAAAAATTGGCCTACCTCCTTATCGACGCTCACATTAGTGGCAGGAGCTGGAGAGCCCAAAGCCCGAACGAATGAAGTGCACAGCAGCGACTTTCTGGCCAATTGTCGAAGCATAATTATACCATTTGAGGCCTCGATTCAAGTCTGTACCATCAAGAATTCAGAATTCATCCCTTACTGGCGAAAGTTATAAAGTTCTGCAAAATCATGACTTGCACGATTTTTGAAAGTAAGGTTGATTAGGGCAGCTTTGCTGCATCCATCTTGTGGTTGTTGTTGATGGAGAGACATAGTCTTACGATTACCATCTGCGATAGGGAAGACGCCTGTCGGGTAATATTTACGCAATCGATGTCTTTATTCGCACCTAATAACAGCACAATCAATGCTCCCTGATCAATATTTATTGGTTGCAAACTGAGGCAGCACTTGTTCTCTGCTGCAGCAGTTAGGCACCCGCCATACTTGATCCACTTGATCCGCTTTCCGCTTGATCCACTTGATCCGCTTAATCCGCTTGATCCGCTTCGTGCAAATTGCGCGCATAAGCAATTTGTCATTTGGCGTCGCGTACAGCCAAATTGCGTAACCCTACGAAATTCCTTTTTGCCTACGCGACGCCAAATGAGACTGCCTATGCGCGCGTTTTGCACGAAGCAGATCAAGCGGATCAAGTGGATTAAGCGGATCAAGCAGATCAAGTGGATCAAGTATGGCGGGTGCCTTAGCTCGAAAAATCTTGTCCATACTTACTAATCACTCTCGCTGCTCCTTGGCTTCTGCATAAGCTCGCTTCAGCTGCACTCAGTTGCTTTTGCTAGCCAGCAATCAGTGGGTAATAAACCGGCAACTAAATCTTCTAAATCTGGCGAAGTCACTCGCACTGTAGCATGGCTGTTAGTTTTTTCTAAAATTTGAGGAAAGTGGATCTGCCTTCAAACACTGATGTGCAACAATCTTGCGCGACATCGTTAAGTTCTAAACGTAAAACTTGTAGTTGAAGGCAACGTCTGGGGAGGTTTTCATCCTTAGTTGTTTGCCTTGTGTAGGTCTTTTGACGCTGATTCCAGTGAAATGCAAAGAGAGTAAATCCCTCAAAGATCCGTTTTTCAAAAATTTCCTCCGAGAGCTGTGAAGTAAAGCCTCTAGCGCTATTTTTGCGCAAGAAGCGCCAATATATAAAAATATATAAAACAGTATGCTTTCGCTTGTGCTCACCATGTGTACGTGCCAAGCACGCGGATTTTGGATTTTTGAGCATTTGGACTTTCTTTTTTTTGGGGGGGGGGGGGGGGGGACAATTCAGGTGAAGGTGAATGGCGTTAGCCAGGCACTTCGAGAATTTTAATGCTTCGCAATATTTTAGGCCAATAACCGCGAAATTTCAGGAATCAAGGGTGTAGCTGCAGCAGTCACGCTCGAAAAGTTTCTTGTAAGGCTGCTGTATTGAAATTTTGAGAAATTTTGATCGAGTAGGGGGGGGGGGCACTGGGTATACGACTGATGCCAAGGTGTACGAAGATTTCGTTAGAAAAGCTTGGCCTCGCGATAGAGTGGTCGGACCCCTTTGAAGGGGGGGGGGGTGTTCAGAGGTCAAGTCTAGCGATAGGATCGATGCCTTAATACTCGATTGTGATAGTAGCCGAAAATGTCCAAATTTGCCCAAGCGCTGCCTTCAAAGGCACCGTCCGCCCAGATTCTCGACTTCCAGGTTTTTGCCGTTTCAGAGCCTTCTCATGTCCCTCTCAAATATGAAGTCGAGAAGTCGCGAAACCCCCGACATTCCCCGTGCCGGAGAACCCACAGGCCGGCTCTCCGGAACGGTGATTGGATGGCCCGCACGGTTGGGCATGGATGGGGAGGGCGGTGCCTTCTGGGAGTCCCCGTGCATCTTTTATTCCGGAGCGATTTCATCGCTTTCGAAGCGACGCTTTGCGCTGCGACTTGGGCATTGGTTTGATAGGGGGCCCCGATATCATAGGCTGCCAAAAGCTCGAGACCCTCAACTCAGGGTGGACGGTGCTTTTAATTTCTACTAGTGTCTTTGCATTGCTTTAGCTTAATACCAATTTGGATTAGAATTCAGTGTTGAGGAAAAGAAACATTGGACAAGAGTGTTCCCTCATTGTCACGAGAGTCTGATAGCGCTTTGGATTAACTTTCAATCACTCACTTGCACCTCAATGGCACGATCTTATCGACGGAAATTTGATGTTGAATTTAGAGCTGAGGATTCTGTGTTTGATAATACCCGTATATCAAGGAGGTAGGCGCAAGAATCAGAAGAAAATGGAAGACTATCTCTTTTGACCCTTTTGGAAGATTAGTATTCAATCCTTCAATGCTAAGAGTCTTCTATACCAGGCCGTTGCAATAATTTGCAGCCGTGAGCCAAATCCAAAGACTTAAAGGCTTGGCTTGGGAACGAAAAAATTTAATGAAGCATCCCAAAAAAATTGACGCGACGCAGCTTCGCTCGAAGAATTTCTTGTCGCTTTCCCTCCCACTCCCGCAAACGGAAATTTTTGGACCGCACCCGCGTTAGACATCAGCATAGGTCGATTGGGTTGGACGTTAATTCCGCATGCCTACCGTTAGTGTGACAACAGCCACTAGTTATTTTGTATACTGGTAAACAGTGCATACATCACTTGAAGATACAGACTAATGCTGTTTTAAGGCCCGAAACTTGGTCATCATGCGTTTAGAAAAAAGGAGACGCTGTGATGCTCTATTGCAACATAAACGTGGAAAATTCATGCAACTTTGGATGATGCACAATGTAAGCGAAAGTTTTAACAATTTACTAAATACACATCATACACAATGTTTGAAACGAATTTATGAGTACCTCAAATTACAAATTACATATCATAGCATTCTATCCATTGTTACAACAGAAAGCAAAGCTCTATTCGTGCTTTGGCTTAATGCACCATTAACACATTCACGACAATACGACCCACCAGTGGGTCGTAAGATTCCTGAAGCTTTAGCTTTGACAGTTTACGATAGCATTATACAGGGTTCTGACATATGATCGGGGACATCTTGGCGGAGCTCCAGCCAGAGTGGTCCGAGTTCGGAAGACTGTAATGTAGTGTTACGGTAGGTATACCGTAGAGAGAGATAAGGCATAGACTTGAGCTCAGATTGTTCGCGGAGTGGTGCTGTTTTTGAAAATTCAAATTTACATGCACGAGAAATACGGGGAGGGCACGAGACTGTTAGTTCATCAAAAAATTGTCGATTTTATTGACTTTATTGATTTCTTGCGTTGTTCATCCCACGAAGCTCAGACCTTAGATATATAGGTTTCTAGCATGCTGATTACGAAAATGACAGTCTCAGGTTCTAATACCGCCTCCATGCGTCAGTTTCTTGATTTTCACAAAAATCTACCGTACTGCTAACGTAGTCCCGCTGGGGAAAGCAGTGAACAAAGTGGACACTATAATCGTGATCAGCACATAAAATAATCCCAAAACACAATTTTTTTATGGACGTAATGTTAGGTTCGTAATGAATGACTACCGTAAACTTAGTATAATTCCAAAAACTGTTAATGTTGGAATAAATTATATTTTGATGATCAGCACCTTCGATAACCCTTGTGGGGAAATTCTCGGAGACATGTTTTGAATTTTCCCAAAAAGACTACTATTTCGGACAATACGACCCACGGGTGGGTCGTAAGTTTGACAAAGCGAAGAGACTTTGGTCCGAGACGGCAGTAATCGAAAAATCGGCCTTGTCGTGAATGTATTAATGTTGTATTGTCATAAGGAAATTGAAAATATCCATGGTTTTAGCTAGTAGATTGGCAGCATGAACGTTTTTTTTTAATCACGTTCTCTTCATTTCCGTTCATAACCAATGATCAATTAAAATGTCATGAAAACTGAAAAGCAATTGAAGGAAGCCAAGAAAGCGCAGACTAGTTGTGCGTCCTACTTTAAATCGTTGTATTTATTTGGCAAAAAGGCACTGTTCTTCATCACTCATATGATCCTGAGTGGCAAACTCAAAGGCATCTTCGAGTGCACTCTCCCATCTGTACGAGTGCTCCCTTTTCACAGCATCAGCTTCTGATGATGTTAGCATTTCCAAGAGAGGTTCGATCCTGGAAAAAAGAGGGTGAATTTGACTAACGCCTTACTTCCATGATTTCGACTATTATGCTAATATTTACCCAAGTAATACAGCTTGTCTGTGATGCATCCGGAATAGCCGTTTAAGATCAGACAACTGGAAGTTCGTTTTCCTTTGATCAACTCGCGAGTAGTAGTAACTACGAAATATCTGAAATAAGAAGTATCACTTTGAAATATCTGTTGTCTTGCATATCGTAGATGAGTGGTATTATATGATGAGAGACTACAGAATTTAAGGAGATCTTAAAAATCTCCCAGTTGCTGAGTTATGAATGATAGACATGATATTTGGAAGGAGCTAGACTATGAATGATAGCCGAAAAAATCAAAGCACTCAAATGATTCTGTTCTAGAAAAATCATGCTCTGATAGTTCTCAGAATGTTTTGACTATTCAAATAAATCATTATACTACAACAATTTCTCACTTGTTGTATAATACTTAATCTTAATTTGATAACATTTTTTGCTCAAAGGAGGGTTTAGCCTTTGAAAAAAAAGACGTAGGCAAGAAAAAAAGTATAACTACATTTGTCTTTTTTATATTTCATCGAATTATTCTTTCGAATAAAAATGAGGAAAAATATTATAAACGGATGGCAATCATGAACGTCGATCTAAAAAACTTTATCTTGATTTGAACAACAGAATTGTATGAAACTTACGGTCATATACTTATTCCTTCTCACACTTGGCTCAGCTGATGTGATTATAAGATGGGAAAGATCAAAAGCTACATCTCCAAAATGTACGTTCTGAACGAATTCTGATGTAAATGGATGTGCCCGCATGACACATTCGCCTCACCTCCCATTCAGTAATGTCCACCAAAAGTGCTGGATTACCGTCCCTAAAGACGCAATTATCAGCGGTAAGACGACCGTGGCAGATGACCCGATCAGTTGGCACACGGGACATATCCATATGGTCGTTGGCTGTCACAGCTTGAAGCTGAAAAACAGCTCTTGAAGTTCTTGGGTGAATAATCTTGCAGTGGTGATTTATTACAATACCCGTGGCATCACTTCATGTGGTAAGGAAAAGTAGTGAGCCAACTCTCCTTCTACGGCATCTTCCATTATCCGCAGTAGATGATGTTCTAGCGAATTTTGATAAGTGCTAATATTGGCATGATTCTCCTCGATAACTCGTACAAACTGCAAGGAAGATCAATATCGAGCCAGGAGAGAGCAAAAATTAGCGAATCACCTCTGCTGCCATGGTTGAGCTGGTGATGGCGTGTATAGAGCCTAATTTCTCTGCTATCTGTAATGTATCAGGTTATGCATAAGTCTTGCACCAAAGTTTTTGAAAATGAGTAGTTTCTCCAAATACAACGAATTCGCAGTTGTGTATGGTCAAAAGAGGAAATCATGGGCTTTCTATAGGTGCTCAAAATGTTAGTTACTTGCGTATAGAGCGGCGATAAAAGTCAGTGGAGGCAAACTAGTAAAATGAATTTTTTTAAAATTCAATCCATAAAGAAGTCAAAAGGTCCAACAACCTCTAATTTTATGAAATGAGTTTTATTACACACTCGCTTTTGCTAATGCAATTTCGCGCATAACATAAGACTCTACAAGAAGTTAAGTTTTTTGAATTTCTCATTCTGTTCAGTTCAACATTTTCGATATGCACGATGAAATACTGCATGCTTTATACACAACAGGCAAAATATTAGGTCATTCGGAAAGTTTTTTCGTTTTCGCACCTTCAAATTCAAACGAGCATAATTTTTTCCAGATCCAACCTTTTTCTTCCAAATAAATTTCGTTGTGTTCAGCAGAATTCTGGTAACATTACTGTAGTGTTCTTGTGCTTTCTTCTTGCGAAATCATCTTAGGGGAATCAACAAAACCTAAAAAGGCATTTTTGACAAGCTAATTTTTATTGGGTCCCATTATTTTCTAATAGGCACCGAGGAATCGGAGAATTTGGTGGCTGGTAACTGAAGGTCCATAGAGTTCGAAAAACTAACAGGAACCTCAGTGCGCAGTCAGCTACTTTTGTGAGGGCCACTTTTCTTACATGTGATTTGACGGCGTCATGGGCGAGGATGGCACCTTTCATAGATTACACATGCAAGTCTGCTCAGTTATAAAATTTTGACAAACGGTCTTTAGAGCAATATCATACTACTCTGCTCTTACACCACAACCACATCTTAGCAAATTTATAGCGTGCAAAACTAGCAGTATTACATTAATTTGAGTACAGCAACCTTTTGTAATGACTTACTGTTCATGGCCATGCTTGCAATGCTTGTTCCAAATGATTTACCATATTGCTTCTTTGCTGTTGCTTCTTTTAGCTGTACTTGGCCAATTTTTTGTTGTAATTATCAGTTCAGGCCAAAAAAGAATTGCTCCGTCAAATTATGAGAAACGAAAGCAGAGTCAACGCGCCCTCAATTTGCGAGTGCGACAATTCGTGAGGTCTATGCCACTAATATTCTTTGGTATTGCAGCTTTAGCGATGGTGGCTTCAAATGGGGCTATATGACACTACAAAGCCTGCTCATAGTTGTATGCAACTACATTTGCGACTTGCTTTAAAGGACCTTTTGAGATGCTCGTTTATATGGCAGGAACACCTTCCAAAACAGTGCAGAACATTAGCTTTCACTTCTCTAGATCTGGACTTTTTGAAGCAGACTTCAACAAACGCCAAGAAAGACGTGGCCTTAGCAAATGCATTGCGCACAATGATAGCTTCTTTGACTGCGTTACACTTAAGACTGAGTTTAAAGAGTGCAATTATTCGAAAATTGCGTTTTCATATGTCGAATTTATAGCCACGTAAACTTCCCTACAAAGCGTTTTCTGCAACTTCGGTGAGATCCTTAGCAACTAGAAGACTTCCTCTACAGTTTCATATATAGCCCTCTGGCACTCTCTTAGAACATGGCACCACATTAAAGGCGCAAAAAGCGAAAAAACTTTCCGAATGACCTAATATTATGCAGACTGAAACAGGTGCCTAAGTTCTTCATGAATCTTTTTGAAATTTCTGGCGCAAGACTTAAGATACAATCTTAAGTTCATGTAGATTATCGACTTTGGCTAGTCCAGCGCAGGATTTTTTTTTTTTGAAATAATCCCTTTTGAGCATTCCAGAGATTTTTCTTCAAAATAGCGAGTCCATCGTATTCCTTACAAATGGAATTCGAGCACAATTCCCCGGTTTATCGATGTTATGGAGTTTTGAAAAGGAGGTAAAAACAACATTTGTGCCAAGATGAATTTTGATTTTGATGAAGAATGTAATTTTTCTACTTCGACTTACTAAACAGAGTTCATTCTCGGAGAGTTCTCTCACTCGCCGTCCTCTTACAAAAGTCGTCACGAATACTAGATAGGAGACGTTCTGATCATCAATCCTGAACGATTGCTCGAATCGACCACAAGGGATCGGCAGACTGTTTGCAATGACGGTCTCGTGAAAGAATTTCGAATTGAAGAACGCAGCCTGCAAAACTTATAATAATTGAATTTGACATAGAATATTTTTTCAGGAATAGTTAAGCCAAGAGAAGAAATGAACAAACATGTCCTCTTGACAGCCGAATGCTGCGCGAACATAAATCATTATTTTTCCGGTCAGTTCTTCGATTATAATTGAATTGAGTATAGACTTACCAATTTTGCTGCTTCCGGCAACCTCAGATTTTCTTCTCGCTCATCCTTCACTAGGTAGACGCGATAGTATCGTGATCCGCTCTGAAATAGAGATCACTAACCTGAACGTCTGAAAAGCTCCATTTTTGACTTCATTGAAAGATGATTCTGATGTAGCGGAGCGGTCAAAGCTGTGCAATTAAATTTGATGACCCACAAATTCTACTATGATTCGATACGAAATGCATCTGAAAATCTCGAAAAGTCCCGTTGATTTCGGGTATGCGTACATCTGATAAGAGAAAGATGTGAAATGAAAGGTGTAACTTCGATAAATATAATCTACGGCGAATGATGAGTGTGAAGAAAGGAAAAAAAATTTTCAAGAAAACGCAGCGCAACTCAAAGACATTGTGGTTTCTATGATATCCATGACCAATATGATAATAAAGCAAATGAGAAAAAGTTTAGAGTGATTTGGCACTTGATCAAGGAATATTTTATGCTTCGGGAAAAAGTGGACGAGGCCAATCCATTCCACCTGCCTATCATTCGATGCAGCATTCAACGCTGATCTCGAATCTATATCCCATATCTGCTTAGCGCCTTTGTGGACGAAGTTATGAGCTTACTGCAAAAAAATCCTTGAATATTGCGAAATTGCGCACATTGTTGCACTTTCGGCTCACCTTTAGTCTTTGAGAATATAAAATAACCTAGCTGCATGTTTTGGCCCGATATAAAGCTACGGCTTTGTACTGCCAAATTTTGCATGCACGATTTCCTAGCAAGCTAAGGCATTGGTATTTAATGGCTCATAACTTCGCCCACACATGGGCTAAGCAGATTTGAACACAGATTCGAAATCAGCGTTTTGTGCTGCATCTAATGGTAAATATAGCTTGTTTGGATTGGCCACTTTGATTCCTGACCTCCTTGGATTTGAAGAAGTTACGTGAAAGAGAGAAGTTATGGTTTTGTTCCATCCGTGCCCATCCTGGGCAACATCTGGCCGATAACAGCGGATTTATAAAAAAACTGGGCTTGTTTCATTTACATAAGTTTTTCATAGAATTTCAAATCCACTCTTAATCGCGCGTACACAGTCCAAAATTTTTACCATATCCTTGGCTGCTTATTACAAACATTTTTAATATGAGGAACAATTTACTTCGCGCGTCTGTGCGAGATTACGCTAGAGGTGTATAGGCTAGTGCAACTAAGACGCAGAAGCAGTATTCGTTTAGCGGAAGCGAACGCGCCACGCGCATACATATTTTCACCGTTGTGAACCCTGCGCCTCGTGCTTCCTGAGGCTGATAAAGCCGCGTTCGCGCCCAAAGATATTGCGCCTTCGTCATGCACTCGCCTATAAGTGATAACCAGGGTTGAGCGTGGGGTCAGGCGCGCCCGACCTGGGGGGTCGTACTGGGGTAAGACAGAGGGGGGGGGGGTCGTGATTAGGAATCGAATTCGTTCGATTGAGGAGATACTACGATTAAGGTGAAGAAGAAAAGCGCTAGTTTAGTGGATATCGCGACCTCACCAGTACTGAAGGAATGAACGGTCTTAAACAGCATACTGATTGATTCCACAATCGAAGTTTCGGCCAAAACTCAAATCTTCATCTTCTACCTTGACATATTATAAATTCATCAAGGAAGCTTGCTGTGTGAAATGGGTATCATTTTCGAGCACGTCAAATTACCTCTATGAGCCCTACAAACCATTATTTACTGCATTATCTAGTGTTTCTCAACGACTAAAAAGCGTGATTTTCAAACATGATTAACTTGTTTTCAAAAGTGAGAAAAGTCAATTTTTTTGTACTCGTAACAAAGTATTGTTCCCTACTAGTCTAGGCTAAAAATCGACAGAACAGATTTGGCAGTCGTCGCAACTTTCAACTACAGTATCCCCGACCCCATCTCCAGGGTATTCGTGGCAGGACCATCTGTGTTTCAGTGCGCGCTTTCTTTCTCATAAACGTTGCTTTATCTCTAACTTACCACTTTTTATCAACTCAAATGTACTGAGTAGGACCTCCGCCCGTTAGGAATTAATAGAAGGCTGATATGAGCCACTGCAATGCTTATAAATGCGTTTAATTTCGTTCTAAAGCTCCTCTCAAACTTATCCCTGAACTAAATGTTTTCTGCAAGGTATTTTCCCAACAAAGCCCGTTGCTTTATTGGTCAGATAGAAGCCAGGAACCTTCACCAATAACTTTGAGGTGTTCGGTAACTTATTGTTCGATGTCTTGTTCATTGAATAGATGTGAAAAACAACATAGTGGGCTTGTGGTAACTTGCTTTTACTAATTTGCTCAAAAAAATTGCTTGTGCACTATTCACAAAACTGTTGAAATCTGCAATTTTATTAGTTTGACTCCATTCTAGTTGTGACGATCATGGGAGACGATCATGGGAATCAAAATTGGGCTTGTTTTGTGCAGATAATTTGAAGTGAGTCGTGTAAGCGGTTATATGTGAAAGTTAGAGTTGAGGAAGCAGCTTTCGGAATCAGCGATGTTTATGTAGTCAGTTGCACTAATTGTAGAAACTATCACTACTTTATGATTAGGTTTCATTCCGTAATCCCAGTCGAGAAGGATGACAATCTGCAGAACGTCCATCAAATGCGTTGTGTGTTATCAACTGTTTGGTTGAGAAACACGACCGCTAAAGGTAGATACGAGTAACCTATTTCCTAATGGGCAAGCGCTTACATGAGGAGCCTCACAATTAGCTCTTCACAGCACAACAGGACTGAGAACGCTAAGATTCGGCATGCTACCTAGCGTTCAGCACGATGTACCGACAATGAGGGTTCGATTTCCGATAGCGCGATCAGGCGGCCATGTTCTCTATCACTGAATTGGATTTATAAGAGCAAAATTGAACACCATAAATTGCTAACCAGCTACCAACGTAGCTGAGTATACGGTTGAAAAACTGACTGGGATTCTACCAAACAGTTGGTGACAAATTGTCAGAAATGCAGTCATTCTCCGACTCTCTTACATATTCAAGCAACATCTCAGCTTGATAGGCTCGTTTTGCTTTGAGATTCTCGAGCATGGAATTTACAACTTCAATAAATGTTACATGCAGATCGAGAAATGGGTACTATTCCAGTATACCGACCCCAAAAATTGAAAATCTCGGATTTCGCTCAAACTTGGTATAGGGGGGGGGGGGGTTATTCGATCCGCTGATGCCGAATATCATATCGATTCCGCGCGATAACGCCATTTTCCGGGGGTACGGTGGGTATACGGTAGGGGGTCAAAATCACAAAATTCTCTAAAACTTGGTGCAGGGGGGTTATTTGACATGCTGAACACGAATATGATATCCATTCGTTACGGTAGGACCTCATTCCGGGGTTACGGTGGGTATACTGTAGGAGGGTCTAATTCACTGCTTTCTACACCCACCGGCGCGCTCGATACACCCTGCGGCGGCTTTTGCCTAAGCAAAGCAGGGGGAGGAAATTTCCGACGTGTGACTGAGATTTCAAGCCCTGAATCTCGATCTAGCGGTGGTATTGGTAATGTATACCCAACGTAACGTCGGAATGAGGCACTATCGTAACTAATAAACATCATAATCGTGATCAGCATGTCAAATAACCCCCCTACACGAAGTTTCAGCGGATATCGTGATTTTGCCCTTACCGTATACCCACCATTACCCCGGAATGAGGAGCTACCGTAACGAATGAATATCGTATTCGTGTTCAGCATGTCGGATAACCCCCTCTTACCGAGTTTCAGAGAATTTTGTGATGTTGACCCCCTACCGTATACCCACCGTAACCCCCGGAAAATGGCGCTATCGCACGGAATCAACATGATATTTGGCATCAGCGGATCGAATAACCCCCCTATACCGAGTTTGAGCGAAATCCGTTTTAATTTTTGGGGTCGGTATACTGGAATAGCGCCGAGAAATGTACCAGAACACTACTACCGGCTACGTTAGACGGGAACAGAAAAAGTCAAAATCGTTATACTAATATACTCAATCTTCTCTGACGTCTCTACATGCACAACATCAAGATTGAAGACGAATAGCCACTCAGAGGTGTTAGGTATCCCCATCGAAGTTAGCCAAACAGCTAACTCGTAATCCAGCCAATGAAATAGAATCCACCATCAGTGCAACTCCTGGCAGCCTACTCTAAAAACTATAGCCTCGAATAGCCTTGACAGCACGTTTCAAACTGGCTAAAACTGAGAGTCCCCGCACGAGTACCCTGTAAATGGCGCGCGGATACTGTAGTTGAAAGTTGCAACGACTGCCAAATCTGTTCTGTTAAAAATCGCGCTTTGTATCGCTTTCAAATAGTGGAGTTAGAAATAATGCCAAAATTTCGACCGGCGCGTTTTTCGCCATGACTGCATCAGCTCCACGGATTACCACAAGGCCGAAACAAGTCGAATAAGTCCAAACACTTACTGTGGAATCTTCGAGGGTTGTGCTAGCGATTCACATAAAACTTGAATAAAAAAGCTTCTTCAATGATAAAGTTAATCGGGTCAGGCGCAACCCCACAAAAGGTCAGGCCGCCTGAGCTTTTGAGGGGTTGCGCCTGACCCGATTAACTTGTTTTCAAAATCTAAAAATTGCTCCATTTCTGCTATGAGTATTGAACTCAAAGCCTCTTCTTGCAATACTGCAAATTTAGAGCCAAACAATACACCCCTGTGGGAATTATAGCTCTAAAAGTAGGGCTATCCAAAATCCAAAACTTGCCGTCAAGTGCGTGTGCTGTGCAATCGCAGAAAGTCGACCTACAGACCTCCAAAAAAACAAGAACCTCCCAAAAACGGCTGATCTCTTCGAATTATCACAGCCTGAGGTCCTGGAGGTGAAGCAGAGGGGTCGTTTAGGGGCTTTCACTGGGGGGGGGTCGTTTTGGAAAGACTTGTGCCTGACCTCTTGCTCAACCCTGGTGATAACCGTTCAACTTGTTCGTGAGAGTACTGAAAACGACAATTCGCACAAGCTTATACATGTTTAGATGGGTATACACGCGAACCCAGCGGTTTTTAATTTAGGGAAGCAACATCCACTCTGCTCATGTGCGAGTGGCGTCCAGCCCCGCTTATTGGATTGATTCGTGACCGCAGATTTGTAGTGTTGTTAGAATAAAAAGCCATTCAATGCATTTCTTCACATCATTAAGTGTTCTTTTCCTCCTCTGTTCTATCCACATTTTTGTTTACTTCAGACTCTGTCTGCAGTTTTGAGTTCTTCAAAATGAGAATCGTATTCTCCTCTTTTGTTTCTGTGTTGATGAGAAAAGAAGTGATTCCTGTCTCTGTATAATCGCTGTAGCCTCAGGTACTTTGCAATCTTATTTTGAGTGTTACAGAACTCTCGCTCAGTATAGCGAAAATAGAACTGCAGTGTTTGAAGACTAAAAAGCTCCCAAGGCTGCTCCATTTCAGTAAGACAAAAATGAGAAAGAATAGAAAAAGGTTGGTTATTGCTACATCGGAAAGGACCAAAAGATTATGTATCGAACTCCTTCTGCACTCTAAGGGCCCGGACAGACTTCACGCGATTTGATCGTCGCGATTCAATCGCCGACATTTCCATTCATTTTCATTTTACATTCAAAAATTCCGGGCTGGAAAAGTATCACAACCGAAATGCAAGTTGATCGGCACGGAATGATGTTGTAACAGTTGTCTTGTCGCGATTCGGTCGCGACGATCAAATCGCGTGAAGTCTGCCCGGGGCCTAAGGCTTCGGGCAGAGTTCACGCGGTTTCATCGTTGCGACCGCTACAAGACAAGTGTTACTAATCCATTGCATGCCGATCTTTTTGTATTTCGTTGTGGTAGTTTGTCACGATTAGTTGTGTTGGGAAACTATCACAACCGCAATGCAAGAAGATCGGCATGCAATGGTATTGTTACAGTTGTCTTGTCGCGATCAATCGCGACGATGAAATCGCGTGAACTCTGCCCGAGGCCTAAAAAACAAGTCCTGTAAAATAAGATTGTTGTGTCACTGCGACTCTTGTGAACAAAAGGAGATTCCCGCTATTTCATGATGCAAAGAAGTTCTTTCAATTTTTTCAAGAACAAGTTTTGCGAAATTACTAACAAGGAGTGGATACTTAGTCGAAAGCGCCAATTCAGATGAGACATATATCATCTTAAAGCGCTTGAAACCTGTTTTGTAGAAGGAGTTAGAGGGGTGTTTCCTCTGGGGTTTAGGCGCACTCCAGCGGTCTCCCCTTATCTGTAAGCACTGTAGAGGAGTATCAGCTGATGGCAACTGACCTAATGGTAAGTAACTTGAATGAAGATTACAGCAAAGATTATAATACTCATATTACTTTGGTTTTTTTTAACACTTCTAACTTCGACTAGTATCAATATCATCAGAAGCTTCATGCTTCAGGGCTCTAAAGCCATTCAGAAGTTTAATTTTGCATGCGCAGGGGATTAGTACCTTGACACTCTTTATCAAGCACGTCACTTACCACTAGGTCAATTGCCACCAGTTGGTACTCCTCTACAGTGCTCATAGGTAGGGGGAGACCTGGTGGAGGGCGCCTCAACCCCAGAGGAAACACCCCTCATAACTCCCTCTGCAAAACCGCTCCGCAGCTAGAAATTGCAGATTTGGAATCAGCGTTTCAAGCGCTCTAAGATGATATGTGTCTCGTCTGGATTGGTGCTTCCGACTAAGTATCCTCTCCTTGTAAGCAAGAAATCATTATATTTCTGGGCAACACAGATATTGTGACGTTTACAGAAACTTCGTTAATGCATCTCTTTTCTTTTCTCGATGTCCATTTGGGGAGGAATAGAGATGACTTGTAGTCGACTTTTAGTAAACAAGCTTCCGTTAATTAGAGTAATAGAAAGGGAGGAGCATTGCCAACTTGACAAGCGCTCGTTGATTCTAAAGTTAGCGCTGTTCACTACGACATAACGCTTAGGTGTAATTTTTTGCAAGAGATTGATTGCTTTATGATTTATATGGCACCGATCTAACCATAGAGTAATGTGACTGTTACGCGTATTCGAAGTCGGACCCATGCACGACTAATAAAGATAACGAAAACAACTAAAGCATGTAGCGAAGACAAAAAAGTGATAAAGTTTGAAAATGTGTCCTACCAATGTGCATTTACCGATATTACCAGTAACTACCTATGACGAAACTACCTCTTCATCAGCTGAGAGATAACTAAAAAAAGTTCGACCAAAAGTGAAAGGTGTGATCTTGAGGCTTAACGTGGCTGATAAATGAGAACTGTCAGCAGAAGAAGATTAAAACAAAACCACTAAACAAAAAATCAGCGATAAATTAATGCTCTTTGTTACCTACGACCCTTTCATAAAATTGCCCAAATTGAAAGTGCGTGAACGATGCGTTCTTTGATTGTTTCGTATGGAATTCTGCTTTTCTGGACGGCCTTGCGTGTAGTGTTAACTTCGAAATTTTCAAGCCACTATCTTGCTTCTTAATCACACACTGTTTCTTCTTTGCGAATAATATCTTATAATTCATCGCACAAAGGCCAAAATTCGTTAATTTTTGAATAGTTTCAGAATAATGTTTCATCTAGAATTTATAAGACCGAAATTTTGAAAAAAAAAACAATATTTTATGAACCAAACTTTCCCCGCAAAGTTAACCGTTGCTCTATACGATGGTCATGTGCTAGTTTTGCTAACATCAGTAGAGACATATAAATAGAATAAGCTGATTACTAGTGCAAATGACAGTTTCAAATCTCAGATCTGTGCAGTTCAGTTGTTGTCAAAGTGCTCGGTACTTACTGGACTAATAGAAGCAAATGCACCGAATGCGTTCAAATCATTTCTTAATCCCAGTTTTGTAATTTGGCATCTACTTGAATTTGAAAATTGACGTAAATTCTCCAGTCAATTGGAGCTTTTGAATGCATGAATGTTCGATTTACAATATTCCACCTACGACTAGAAGTTAAATCAATGAGAGCTTTGTAAGAAAAAGAAAGTAATTTCTTTTTCGGCATAGAACTAATGCTTAACTTTAATACAGAGAAAGTATTACTTACCTCGATTTCGAAGGTGGTGACCCCATTGAAGCTAACGCTAGGTTTCGACTCAGTATAATTGGTTAGATGAAGAGCTTGAGCCACGAGCTCTGACAACTTCATCAGTGGAAGGAATCGCTTTCGCAACTAAGAACGCTAAGGGGTGGAGGCGCCCCTTGACGATTCCGTAATATCACTGCAATAAGCAAACAACGGTGACTACAGCACTACCCTTATCTTGGCAATCATTCCTAAAGCTGACCGATGCTCTTGCGAATCAATGTGGAGAGAAGTTCAGCACTCAGCAGTTTCGTCTCCAATCCTTATCCTCAAATTGACTTTTATGAGCTACTCTCTTTGTCCATAGAAGCATCTATTGTAAAACTGTTCTTTGCAGGTTATGTAGATTAGTATAGAATTCTTCGTGATAAAAACGCCAGATAAAGAATTTTACAATAAAGCACAAATTCTCCCATGTAATAAAGTAGCTATCAATGACTCATTATTGCTGATAACGGAAGGGTTGACATTCCACGACCAAGTCACAGTCATAGCGATTTGCTTGAGTCTGCATTGCTTTTTGCTCGGAAAAAAAGGAGGATATGGGACTGCTTTTCTAAGGTCGTAGCCATACCTTACGCAATTTCAGTTGCGACGCACGGCAATATTCCAATTGTCCGTACTCATCGTGCTTGCATTTTGTGCTGAAGATAGGGCATTTTATCAAGCTATGAATGTTTTACAGTGATCTGCCAGTGTCGGTTTCGAAGGCATCTGGCAAATTGCCAGATCGCGTAACTAGAATCGCGTGTGGTATGACCAACGCCTATAGCACGGAATGCTATTGCAAATTCCTAGGAGGAATTTTTTGAACCACTAGTGAACCAGCAGTCTAAAGGTGCTCTCAAGGGCGTTCGCTTGACCCGCCGCGATTTTCCCGCTATTTGCACATTTTTTAATTGAGTTAACGAATCTTTATATATTAGAAAATAGAAGATTACTCGAGGAAACCTGGCCTTAAGGATATCCCGTCTTTGGCAAAGCTAATCTATAATTCGAGTGGGTGAATTCGTTAAAGCTTTTCTTGAAGGAATGAATTAGACTTCAGTTTACTGTATAACACCACATTCCCTTCTTTATCTTGGAAAGTTTTTCTCCTCATGTCCACATCTGATTCGCGGCAATATTCTCTCCCAGCAGTAAATACTGCTGGGAGAGAATATTGTTGCACAATGTTGCGACTTTCTCAGGTTAACTACATGGTGTTTTTCAAGTCATTTTAGCGATAATACCAGCGAGAGAATGGTGTAGTCAACATAATCTTCAGGCTACCCACATTGATGGGCGGAGCCACCTTGGCAGCCTTCCTGGAGCGATTTACACGCTTTGGATTTCATCTTTTGCAGCGGGACTTGTACGATAACTTAGACAAGGGCTCCGCTATTATGCTATCACAGCGCTCAAACTGTGCTTTGACTGTTCGGGAACTTATCGTATGAGCCCAGCCACAGCATCACCCTCAGTTTGGTGAATAGTCCCTTTAACAACATTGGTAAATGGCTTCAACAGTATCATTCTTCTCCCTTTGCAACTTTCGCAAAATTAGGTAGTAAGTAAATTATATGAGTTAGGCATCAAGCTCGGAAACTTTCATGTCTGTGAAGCCAATTTTCCTTTGCAAATCTCGCAGTTTTGATAACAACGTTTTGACTCCACTTGCTCCACCGATTTGCGCAAATTATTACGCAAACTAGGGCGGAGTCGCAGCCCTATTCAAGACTACGACACCAAGAGGAAAAAATAACACCAGAAAGAGGCAGTAAATGAAAAGCAAGTAGTAAATCAGAAAAAGTTAGTCCCTGTGTAAGGCAGGTGTTCTATGGTCATGCGAAACGAAGGTGAAGGGTAACAGTTTGACGTTCTTCAGTTCAGGGCGAGATGCCAGTTTAGTAAAGCGCAAATCTGCCACTCAAATCTTGGGGCAACTCGAATTTTGGTTAGGCTGGAAAAATTTTTAAGTTCATATATTTCATATTCATTTCGATCCTCATGCGAGAATAACGTCGACAAATAAAAAAGGTACTATCTGTCAAAAAAGATCTGAAGAGGCGGATTATTTCTCTTCTCTACCTAGTTACACGGGCAAGGCGGAGGATGTAAGGTGAAGTTGTACGTGGCGTTGAGCAAGCTAAATGCTTCTTTCCGATCTTGGAATGATCTCCGAATTTCATTCACCTTCACGCATGAATGTTATTCTCGGAGATGGTACGCACATTAGTCTAGTGTACTTCGGTCCAGCGCGGCTAACCCAGAGCTCAGTTAAGGCTATAGAGATTCCTTTCACGGAGGCTTATCCCCTCCAAAGGTGTCCTAAGTTTGTCATCACTGCTCTACTTTGTGTACCTCACAGGGGGCGCCGTCGCCAACGCTCCTCCGTATCCCAGCCGGGTTCGCAGCCAGCACACAGCATTGCGAATATATTTTTGATCTATGGTATAGTTGGGCTCGTCCGCACCTCCATTGTCGTAGGCGCAAAACCGGTACAAAAAACAATTTTTGCGGGCACAAGCATTCTGTTGTTTGCCATTCGGTCGATACACTTGACAATGCAACTGGCACAACATTTACCGGCGACCGTTGCGATATCGAAACCCCTAGTTTCCAAAGTGAGCGGATTATTCGCTCGACTCTCCAATGACCTCTATAGATCGCTTGTATTCAAAAAGGATGCTCTGTTGCACAAAACGTATCCTTTATTCTCGCCCTACAAAAGTGCTTTGTTACGGTGATTTTTTTGTTACATTCACGTTGATTTCATACAATGACAAGGATCGATAGGTTTTTTTTGGGACTTTGTAGTTATCTTTTATCTAAATCACCTTATATTTTTCTTGGTCCACTATATAGGTGAGTTTCGCGTACAGCTTTTTTAATTTTAGGAAACCTCCCGCAATGGCCGCGGAGCTGTTAGCAAATGTGACTTTTGAGGAGAACATCCGATCAGCATATCTCAGAGGAGTCAAATGCACTTTTACTCAGGTTAGAAAGCAGTTGCAATGTTCGCTTTATTTACGTTTGTTTGATTTTCTTGTGAAACTTGAATTCTTACTGAATTCTTGGAGGAGCTATTAAGGAATTAATCGTTTTCGTTCTTCACCAAAGTCATTAATGCATTGGGCATACATAATACGTTGGCAAATAGTCTTCCAATCAAACGAATAAATGCACATCACCTAAGCAAATCCTTTTTAAAAGTGGGGTGTCCATGTCACTGTACTGCCTTCAGGGTGACAAACGACAGAGTTATGATCTTGTATTACGGCATAGCAGTGTCGCCACCATACTCTTCCATACTGGTATGAAGAAAATGATCCTTGTCAAACAATTCAGACCAGGTTAGGTGCTTCTGTTCGTGGTTTATCGGATTCAAACTCCTTTTTAACTTCATTTAGTGTTTAGCTGTCCTAGTTGGACATGTACTTCGACAACCAGAAAATTTCAACAAGAAACTCGGTGAAATAGATTGGACCAAATACGATGCGTCAAATGGTTATACCTTGGAATTGTGTGCTGGTATGATTGATAAAGTAAGGTGTGATTTGCTGAGATAGATGTTCTTTTCCAACTCGATTTTTAGAAACTTCCCGTTATCGATATTGCTCGCGAAGAAATTGAAGAGGAATGTGGGTACGCTGTGAAGAACGAAGATATTCATTTTGTCACGACTTTCAAGTTGGTTTTATGAAATTACGATGAGCAGCACTGCTTTCTGTACCGGTATAGCAAGGGTTGAGTTAGTAGCTGTTTTTACAATTTTGTTTACTTCAAATGCGTTTCCTTCTGCTTTTCTGTATTCATAAGTTATGAAGGTTCAATGACACGAGTGATTTTGCTGTTTTTGATCCACTCTTGTATACTTTTCAAATGCCCGTTTTCACTTCAGCCTTCGTTCAGCGTCGCTGCACATGAGTCCGGAGGTGTGCAGTATCTTTTCTATGCTGAAATCAATGATTCCATGAAAGTCACGGAAGGCGGTGGAAATCCAAGTGAGGATGAGTATATTACAAAGGTATTTACGTTTCATAACAGTAATCTGTTGATTTTTCGCATCTTTCGATTCTCATGCTTCATTTGTAGGTGTTTTTAACGGAAGATGAAATACGTGCTCTCGTCTCTAGCGAATATCCACCGAGCCCCTCTTCTATGCTGTACGCTCTGATGTGGTGGCTCGAGAATAAGTGTTCTAAACAAGTCAATGCAGTGGTAGTAGCTTTTTTAGTGATAAATTACATCAGAAGATATCTTTTAAGACTACTGGATCATACGAATGGCATCCAAAAGATGTTGTTCCCCTAACGAACCTGGAATTTGAGCAAATGCCATTGTCAGACCGTTTCATTCCCCTTCGAATGCATTTTACGATAGTAAGTATTGCCTTCATGATGTTGTTTTTCATTATTTCGGATTGTATATCACAACAGCTGTTTGCTGAGAGTTAAAACCTTTCTATAGTTATTCGCAGGGTGAACAGAAATGAGTTAGCAGCGCTTCTGTGAGTGACCCGAGGTAACCAGGTTCCTTATTATCAATGACACATTGACGTTCTCTTGGGTTAACTCTTATGTAGCAAGAATTCATCAAACTTTGGTCGATAGCTTGTTGCAGAAGTAAGCTTTTAACAGAAGTATTGGCAATATTTCGAAGGGAATGGTATGTTATGGCTTTGTGCGAAATAACAGGCAGAAGTGGTAGACTTTTGAAACGATTCTTTCTAAGCAAGCTGGTCTAACCGTAAAAACGCTGTTTGAAATTTCAACAGAAAAGCTCTGCTGCATTTATTACGCAACAACCGGTCGAATCTACCTCTCCAGGGGTCCACTCACTGATACTGATCAAAGTGAGTTTGAGTAGCTCACAGGGTAAATAGAACCCATTGAGTTATACACCGCAGAGTTTACTGACTAGCGGTTACGAAAATCTTACCTGCTGCTGAAGATAAGTCAGCTCATTCGTGCAACAGCGATTCGCAATCGTATTCATTGGTACGTATTACGGATCTCTGTTGCATGCTTGTGTGAACATTCAGTACAAATACCTATTTGAGGGTTCATTATCCCGCTCGTGGGATCTGGCGTTATGTCATGAGAGTTTCGCAATTTTGCTGTATGATGAAGATAGAAAGGAACTCATTTTCACACAACGGTTCAGACCAGGTCAGTTTGTCTAAGCGTTATAAATTTCCTTTGAAATTACAAGATGAAGGCTTTCAGCCGCGTTAATTGGTCTTGCCCGTCATCGTGCTCCTCCAAAAACAAAACTTGAATCCATTGACTGGTCCTTACAACCTTCCGAATGGGCTTACACCATCGAATTGTGCAGTGGGCATTATGAACGCAACGCGTCGAAAGAGCAAATCGTGAAACAAGTCAAGGAATGTGTTGCGCGCAGATGCGGTTATCTAATAAATGAAATGGACTTTGTTACCTCTTACTTGTGAGTTTTACATCACTCCTCTTGCTGAAGTCCGCTCAATTTTTTTATGTTAAGAATAGGAATAAGCTTCTCGGGTGATCGGCAGAAGGTTTACTACGCTAAAGTTAATAGCTCCATGAAAGTGAAAGACTGGAAGCCCCTGGAAGATGTAATACCGGTTAGTGCTATCGTCTATTTCTGTGACTTTACATTAAAAAAACATGCGCTGTTCTGGCCATCTTTTATTTCTTGCTGATTGCAAGTTCCCAAAAATTGCAGAGATCTCGTGGCTTGATTTGGCGCCACAATTTGGCATTGAAATGCTTGAGTTTTTATTTGTGTTATGGATATCTTCTTATTTTTCTGTTCGATGGCAGATGTTTCGATTTCAGTGTTCCATACCGTTTGATAAAGTTCCTGCCTACTTGCAAACTCCAACTGATGTTCCCACTCGCCCACCTGCTGTTATGCTTATGATGCAGTGGTTTTTGAACAGGCAACTACAGCGAGTATAGAATCTGCTCCAGAGATAGATACAGCAGTTATGCACCAGAATCAGAGTTTTTATGACATGGTTGTAAATTATCTTGCCCAGTAATAGGCCTTGCATTATATGCATTCCCTTTCTGTCACATGATTTGCATTACGTGCAGAGTATAAAATAATGTAATGTGTAACAAACTTGCTCATTCGCTTTGTTTTCAAACTAGTGTACCCTAATTTCACGCTTATAGGGCGCACTTTTTCGAATTTTCATGCGAGCCGCTCTGCCGCTTGATGTATTCCGGAAGAAATTTACATCGCACGTCTCTCAAGCAATATACAGCTTATAGGACCCTTTGGTTGTAAAGTCCTTTGGCTTGTCTGGGCTGGTCGAATTTGGAAAAAAAAATCCCCCGTGCCTTATACACGTGAAATTAGGGTAATTTTTGAGTGATTTTGTACGACCTCAAGAATTTTATCATCACTCGTATGCGCAATGAGATGGGTACGTGAACTGATATGAAGTGACACAACGTATAAAATGGCACTCGCAGGAGGGGGACCTTTTGTAACAAGACGCATAGAAAGTGGCAACACCCAACGGTGCAAAAGTTACGACCCCGGCAGGACTCGAACCTGCAATCTTCGGATCCGAAGTCCGACGCCTTATCCATTAGGCCACGAGGCCGCACTTTGCAGATGAAGAACTGCAACTGATCGAACTGGCTTTCGAAATTTCAATGAATCGGTAAGGACTTAAGTTCCACTCAGAGGAAATTTTCGCTTCATCGTACCAAAATTATCTTGTTCAACTCAATTGTGGTATATATTAGGTTGTCCCGAAAGTTCTGACGTTTCATTTTTGGAAATTTGCAACTTGTTGCTGTCTTAACGGATTTGCTTTTTTCCAATTTCACTAGAAAGAAGAAGTCTTCGCCTTCATAGAAGTATCTACAGTCGAGTAGATTTAGCGGCAAATATAGTGTGCTTGCACAAAGGTGAAAAGCGGTGAAATTTGCGCGTGAACAAGTAGCCACGTCGGTACCGCGGGTATCTTGCGCGCGCAATTGGCCGGCGTCACAGTCGAAACTACTTCTTCACGCGTCAATTTCACCGCAGTTCACCTTCTGTGCAAGCACACTATATTTACCGCTAAATCTACTCGACTGTACCTCGAAGAGCTCAAATTATACATTCGTTTTAGAGACAAAAATGGAAAAGAAGATTACTTGAGCTTTGAACTTTTTAAATTAGGTCACCAGAAGTCTGGAAGTCACAGAAAAATATGAAGTTGTCAGTATTTGAGTTCTGTCTGTGACCTACCCTTTACATCGGAGAAAAAATTCTGCTGTTTGGGTGTTTCAGTCAGAAGTTATGATTTTCGAGAAAAGCGAGAAATTAATCAATTTTGCATTTTCTATTGTAAACTCGAAAATTACAACTTTTCACAGACACGTCCGAACAGCACGACTTTTTCTTAAATGCAGAGAATAGGTTATAAAACTTACCTGCTGGCTATTTCAGATTTTTCTGCAGCGTAAAAGATTTTTAGCGACCTAGTATTTCAAAATGGTCAAAGCTCAAGCAGCCATTTTCCATTTTTATCTCTCCAATGAATATATAGTAGAACTCACCGATGAACCATTACAAAGAAGATTTCTTCTTTCCAATAGTACGAAAAAGAAGCAATTCCGTCGAGATGGCAAAAGTCACAAATTTTTCAAACTGAAACGATAGAACTTTCGGGGCAACCTAATACTTGGGTCCGAATCGAGTAAAAATTCATCATTCGAATAAAACATTCGAATATATTCGCATTTGAAATTCGATAATCGGAGGTTTTCCATTTTCGAGTAAAATTCGAAACTCGAATAGTGAAAAAAACTGGTTTCGAATAATATTATATGCGAAAAGTCGAATAATCAAAAAACGAGGATTCGAATAGAATTCATTCGAATGTTTTGTTCGAGTTGTTATTCGGATGAAATCCTATCCAAATTATTCGAGTTTGCTGCAAAGCTAACTGCTGGGTGACAGCTCGCTTCGTCTGCGTTTATCCACAAAACTCGATAATGCATCTTTTGCAACCGTGATCACATTTGAACTGTAGGGAAACTCGCATTCCTCCAACTCCTTGTGAAAGTTCAAAATTAAATATGGATTTTGAATTATTGCTTTTTCGATTGTTGAGATAGTTCGCACTGCTATTGGCATCAAACCAGCAAATAAACAACTATTGAATTCAAACTCATAGTCCGAGCCCATATACTAGAAAGAAATATGTCTTTGGCTTGCTCATGGTTTTGGTCTGCAAAAATCCACACTTGTAAGCATTTTTGCTTGTAAAAGCTATATTGCACAATTGCCTAAATTCTATTAGGTCGTTCCGTAAGTTCGTAGAGGTTTTATAAATCAACAGATTTCTAGCAAAATTCAGTCAGTAGTGCATGTTCCGTTGTTGCGCACAATCTTCTGCTAATACGCAGTTAGATTTTCATTTTCGTTTGTCCAGAACTCAGCGGGTCTGGTCCCGAAAAAGTTATCTAACCAGCGCCTGAGATCGTCTTCAATATCAAAACAGACGTCGTTCTTATGATTTGTGATAGATTGGAACAGCCGATAATATGCTAGGCGAGATCTCAGGAGTACATTGGGTACTGATGTACCTCCCAGCTAAGTCTTTCAGGACAGCTATGACGAGGGTTGCCGTAGGGGCTAAGTTTTATCTCGCAGAGAGCTCATTGGACCAGTTTATTAGGCCTTTCCTGCACTGGGGACGCGTTTAGACGGCACTCGGGTTGCGCACTTCATGCGCGATCGTCTCGTTCTTGCCTAGCAATTTCTAGTGTAGAACCTCCTGCTCATCCTGCAGAACATCTTGCAGAAAGTCTTGTTCAGAAGTCACCTTGTAAACTCTAGGTATTTTTGGCAATCCGCTCCTTTTTTGTCTCATATTGACGAGAAGACGCCATTTTTGATGATCGGCAAATATGCGCAAAATGCTTTTTTGATAAGAAGAAAACAACGAAGTGCCGAAAATGCTTTGTCTCCTGAGTAATCCTTCTTTGGAAGCTAAAGAACCAATGCAATTCAGCTTTCCATTAAAATTAGTTAGTTTATTCAAGTCTGTAGCAAAAAAAAAATCTCTGCTATTGATTTGCATTTGCATATTTTCTCGAAAAATGTACACACACTTGATAAAACAAGCAAAAAGAACTTAAGGATTACCAGAAAGAATCATTTGTTCAATATGGCTCTCCGTTGTTGTGCATCGAATGCTGCAAAATGCTGTTGATTAGTACAGCTAAAATCAAACTGCGTTTGTTTCGTTCGTAGTAAAGAGCAAATGTGATCTATTGTGTAATTCAATGTGTTCGCCTATTTGCTGGTGCTAGATAGTGCAGTGCCTTAGAAGCCTTAGAATTGATGGGTGCTTTAGTACTGGGAATATAAATAGCTTGCACAAAATGAAGCTTTAGAGATGAAATTCAAAATGCACCTGCTATTGGTTTTCACTGTGAGTCGCCTTTTTGTTAAATGACAAAATTCAGAGCATTCAGATGGCGAGTTACCATCATACGTTTGCAAGGGAGGATTTTAAGTGCGATCCTTACCGCGAGTTAAATGATGAAGTAAAGAGTTTATTCGAAAAATATTTCAATGCTAACTTGGTCAGTTAACTATCATAGTTATTGAAGCCCTTTACTCTAAAAATCTTTATTTTTTTATCTACAAATACGTTTTCCCATGTTAGTGCATTGTTATGAAAAAAGGGATGTTATGCAGCTAAAAACTATCAGTTTTCAATAATTCTCCGCTTCTATAGAACAGAAATCTGTACACGGATTGGTGATAATCTTTCATCTGACTAACGTTCCACGTTTATCGTTCCACCTCCATCTCATTAACATAGTCGACTTATGCATTTTCACTCTCAAGAGAAGGGGTATAGCCGTTAGGCCTTGGGCAGAGTTCACGCGATTTGTCGTGATTGGTCGCGACAAAAATATAACAAGATTATTACATGCCGATCTTCTTGCATTTCGGTTTTGATAGTTTTCCAGCACGACTGATCGTGACTAACTATCACAACCGAAGTACAGGTAGATCGTGCAATGAACTCATAACACTTGTCTTGTCGCGACGAATCGCGACGATGAAATCGCGTGAACACTGCTCGAGGCCTTGGTGAAATATAGGATTAACAATTCCCGCAACAGTATTTTTTTCGTAATTGTATGAAGGGTGGCATAGACTATATATGATGCGCTTTGAAGGATTGGCGAATGGGTGAAAATGCAAGCTTTTATGAAGTCTCTGCTGAATGTTAGATTGTATTATTACCTTGAGATTCACACTAGGTTTGCAAAAAGTTGGGACGTCAGATTTTTCGGGGATGGTGGCTATTCTGCAGTGACTGTATCGCAATTCTTTATGACTCAATAATTGACGTCGTCTTTTCCATAAAGAATATAACTTAGTCAAACAAATTGTTTATGTTTGAATCTTCTTATAGACATACGTCTGTGCTATCACGAAGATTGCACATGCTCTTTCTAAAGTATGGGTTGGAAAAACTAGAATTTGGAATATCTACGAAGTTTACATAATACAAGTTTCTGAACAGTATGCTTCTGCTTTGCTATCTTACACAGATAACCACACTTTTTTTCAGAGTTTTCACTATGAAGAGCTTGGCATATGAGATCGCTGCACTTGCTGTGTCAAAAAGAGTAAGGAACTTCTATTTGTGCTTGCAAAGATCAAACTGTGATTTCAGACATTTATTATGTGTTTGCAAAAATTGAACTGCCATTTCAGACATGGTTCAATAACCAAGCTTTGTTTTATGGTTGCAGTGCTGATTATGTTATGTACTAATATTCAAGAGAAAGATATCCAGTGGGAGTTTGGGGAATGCAAGCTACATGTATCCTCTCACAAATTCTTGAAATTGATCTCAGTAAAGTGTTGAAGCAGCCGATAAGGAGGTAAGATCACCTACTATATTTCAGCTAACAAGGGAAGTCCTTTATATGTAGTAACCTTTGTAATTGCTACTGTTGTAAAGAGCATTGAACGCCGAGTACGAATCAATGTTTGACTACTACTTCATACTCTATATACCAAGAGTATGAGCAGAATCAACTGTTTGGGGTTTATAATGCTTGGATACAGCTGCATGAGTATAATTAGACAATAGGATTGCAGAAAGTGCTCTGATATTCAAGACTAGACCATTTGAACTGTTTTATCAGGCTGGCTATTCTGATAGGCTGGCACTTGAGTAAAGCAACTTTTTATACAATTTTTGCCTTTTTGATAAAACACACTAATTATCTGATATTATAAAGATTATGATGTAAGCTACAGAAGCAGGATTTTTGTCAAATCTCATCATCGTATGTAAGATTTACGTAGGTTTATAGTATAAGAAATTTTTTAGGTTGCCTTAGAGTTTGCTGAAACTTGGTGTAGGGGGGTTATTCGGCTGATTACAAAAATGACACGACTTCGCATGGAAGGAATCTTTCTTTACCCCAGCAATAAATGAGTACGATGTACTCGCGTTCAGCATGTCGAATTATCCCACTATGCAAAAATTTGGGAAATTTCGAGGTTTTGCAGCATAATTTTTGACAGGTACCCCTCCAAATTTGACGCATCCGACGTGTTCAACTTGTCGAGAGCGCCAGATCCCAAACTGTTTTTCAAGTCCATTTCTCTTTTAGTGAGTTCACTAAGTCTATCGTTCTTCGCAATTGCATAGAGTTCGATCCGCTTCTTCGACCAAAAGGCCTTTCCTTGTTGCTCATTGTTTTGAGATTTATAGATGTCAGATGAAACGAGCATCGTCTGCTTCGATAATCTTAGTAAATTTTATAATTTTTTCAGCAGATATTATTGAAGTACTTGACACCCTTTTCGCGTTTCGAACATGCTTGCAGCGACTATCGAGTGCATATCCTAAAAAGAAGTCCGAACGAATAAATCTTCATAAAATTTTCACGAATTTGTACCGCATGTTCATTTTATGCATTTTATAATCATCACCATTTTTGCTTTAAGAGAGAACGCTGAGCATCATTCTACGATAATCAAAAAATTACTCAAATGTGATTTAATATTGCTACCGGGCTCACAGCAGAACTATACTGTGTTGTTAAATTATTTGTTTATTTATTTGTTACATTGTGATGTCAGACATAGAAGACTAATATACATTTATTTATATATTAGGTCGTTCCGAAAGTAATGTCGCTTTTTTCAAATGAACGCCACATTTCGTGGAATCAAGATTTTCAAGAGCTCTTGGAATCAGTCGATGCAGAATTTCATCCTCTTTCCAATGGCTATAATTCCACTGCAGAATGCTCGATAAGCTTTTGAAAAATTACTAAAATCTCCAACCCATGCTTTTTGGGAAGATCAAGTTTCAGAATTTTTCTAATTTTTTTGTAATAACTCCCGGAAGGAGTCCAAGTAATGGTTGGATAGAGCAAACCCTATAGGAGACGTTGCTGTTTTTTGCTGCTCTCCGTATCTCGTCATAATTTTTGTAGAGATTTTTCAATAAAGTCACCGAATTTTTGCAGGCTTGTCTCAAACACATATGCATCAAACACCAATAAACTTTCGGATTTTGAATGCTTGCCGGTTGTTGTTCTGTGAGGTCTGAGTTGACCAGATATGGAATTTGATAGCACTGAAAAATTGGTCCTACAAACTCCAAGAAGCAAACTAAGGAAGAGGAAAAAAATTGTTTTGTGTCCTATAGGGTTTGCTCTATTTATTTGTGACTTGCACATCTTCGGGGAATCAGTACGAAAATATAGAAAAATAGCCGAACTTGACCATGACAAAAAGCATAAGTCGCAGGTTTTAGTAATTTTTTGAGAGCTCATTGCATATTATGCAATGGGATAACAATCATTAGAAAGAGGATGAAATTCTGCATCGACTGATCCCAAGAGCTCTTGAAATTCTTGATTCCACGAAATGTGGCGTTCATTTGAAAAAAGCGACATTACTTTCGGAACGACCTAATATTTATTTATTTATTCAATACGCACAAGGCGTGCCATATTTGAAACAGAGGACGAAAATAATTTGAGCATAAACAGTAACAAGAAAAAACAAAACATCCACAAAAGTTCAAGTCCAGCACCGTGCTGAGAGTAGAATGGGGTAAAGCCTGTTAGACCGTGTATGAATCGGTGCAGATGCTCGGTGGAGTCTGTCTCATGCCCCCTGCTTGCAGCAAAAGTGCTCTTAGACCATTCAACTTGCAACTGTGTATGCGGGGACCGGATGTAATAATAAAATCTTGCCCGACTAAGTTCTGGGGAGAGAGCAGAACTCCAAATAAAAGACTGTGATGCAAAAAGATGTCAGGTCAGACAAGCTATTCCTAAATGACAACGAAAAGGTGAACCAGACCCGAACCAACGTGTGGACAATTAAAAATCAGAACAAAAGTGACATAAAGGTCCAACGATCACAAATTTGGTACATGAGAAAGCTATCACTGGAAGACCTTCTGAGCGATGAATAGGAGTCACAGAGTTAGTCAATTTCATAGTATCGGGGTTGGCCCAAGCAAGACGCGAAGCAGCAAGTGTAGGAAGGTTGGCAGGCAACGGTGGCACTATAGAAGTAGTACTCTGGAAGAAGATCAGTCAAATTCAACTTTTTGGAGAAAATCAGTCAACAACTTTCTAAGCCTTCGTTTGTATCTGGAGAAGACAAAATTTCTTTAGGTAAACACTGAAGATATTTCGAAGTGCGAGCGAAAAAACTGTTTTTGATAAGGAGCTTAACTGTTTGCGCCCACTATTTAGATGTAAATAAACAGAAAAACCAGTGGTCCTTCCATGACTAAGCCTGAACACCCATTATTTAGAAGGTCTTAGCTTAGTCTCGCCTCTAAAAATCCTGAAAGCAAGTATTATATCACGCAAATCCTACAATGTAAAAGGCTTTTAAGACCTAGCACTTTCATTCGTTCAGCATAGCTTGGAAGCGATCGTCGATAACCAAGACTGGGATAACATCTGTAGAAAAGCAAGCGGGTAAAAACCTTCTAGACTTTCTCCAGGGCTTGCTTATGCTAACTCAGAAAGGGGCTCCAAACCTGGCTTGCATATTCTACAATAGGGATGACAAATGCTTTATAAAGTTTCAATAGTATTTTGGAGTCGGCGACTCTAATATTACGAAAGATGTGTACAGAATCGAAAATGCACGAGTAGTAACGTCTGAAATTTGTGCGTCTGGTTTTAAGGTGCTATCAAATACAACACCCAAGTCTTTGATAGATGTTTTATTCACCAAAGAAACTCCCGCATGCTCATAGTACTCATAACTTGCAGAAGCACCAACATGGAAAACAGAGCTTTTATTTATATTTACTGAAGTGTCCCAATTTGTGCACCATTAAACCATGTTATTGATGGCACGTTGCAAAGCATCCTTAATTGTTCTCTGATTATCCCTACTGCATATACCATAGATTTTTATATCATCAGCATACATGAGGACATGTATGTCAGGCCGAGCTTTTAAAATCTGGGGTAGTTCAGCAGTATAGACCAGGAATAGCAAGGTTGAAAGGAAAACGTCCAGAATGATCCTTCCCCACCCGAACCGTCATGTATCTGAAGTGCAGATATGATTTTAGCCACTCTAGTAAGGATCCTCTGATACCATAAAGCTCAAGTTTGTTCGACAATTTACCATGACTTATACGATCAAAAGCTTTCGACAAATCGAAACATATAACGTCTACTTCTTTCTTGTTGAGATATGCCTTAATCCAGTCATGACTACAATCTATTAGTTGGGTTACTGTGGATGCACCGCTGACAAACCTATGTTGTTTCAGCGGGTATGAGATTGAACCTTTCCAACCAAGAGAGAAGTTTGTCACGAATAATTTTTCAAGAACTTTACATGGTACTGGGTTTATGCTTATAGGTCTAAATTCTGTCACAGGTTGAGGTTTGGGAACTTTCGGAACTGCGGTGACAATTGCTTCTTTCCATATGTCAGTATCTCTCCACAAATGAAACTAATATTGAAGATATGTGACAGAGGGAGCGAAAGTTCTCTTGCACAACGTTTGAAGACAATTTGAGGAATGCCGTCAAGGGGTTCAAATGTAGAATGCTTTAGTGTTTTGAGAAAGTTTTCGACAGTAGAAGGTATGATTATAGGTGTTGAGCAAGTATGGTTCAGGGATACCCCCAATGTCTTAGTATCCGTAGTACTTGTGGAAAAAGTATTTGCAAAAAACTCTGCTAATGCTAAGGCCCTAGAGTGATCTGTTAGGCAGGTACTACCTAGCATGTCCTTTGAGGCGCCGTGGTGTTGTACATGCTGTATATGATGGATATAAGCAAAGAGATTTTTGGAGTGATTAGACGAAGCCAGGTGTCTTTCGTGATTTGCGAGGAATTTCTTGAGGTGGAATGTCACGTCAGAGCAGACCTTACTGTATAGTGGGCAGTTATATTGAGCAGTTCTGAAAAGCTCTCTTTCTGGAGTAGAAGCGACTGTATGTGACGCGGGTATCGTGAAAAGCCAATTCTATGTACACCAAATGGGGTATGCTTAGCCAGTAGACTATTTATAACACAGCAGAATCTGTAGTATACATCAGAGGGGCCAATATAACGATCGAGGATCTCTTTCCAATCAAGAGTGTGAAGGTCATTTTTCATTGCTTCGAAATCAATTTTGTTGAACATAGGAAATGGGATAAGTTCTTTTTTGGGATTTTGGAATTTATACAAAAATTCGATGGTACTGTGATCGGATGTGCCAAACGGTGCCTTGACTGATAATTTGTGTACTGAGTCAGTAC